TACCCTGTAACTCAGTGGAGTGTTCTCTCCTGAAGCCAAATTGTTCATCAGGCAGAACATTTCGATCCTCAACATCTTCGTTGAGCCTTTGTTCTGTGGGAACAGCGGGTTCTGGCCCTTTTTTGGGATCATGACGATGATCGCATGCTTCCATCTTCTGGGGACGTGTCTGAGGGTCAGCGAACTGTTCATAATATGCAAAAGGGATTCGAAGCAGTTGTCCGGGAGCCTCTTCAATAATTTGTTGGTTATTGAGTCGACCCCCGGAGCTTTTCTGGCCTTCGCAGCCCCGATGTAACCCTTCAGTTCTTCCACAGAAGCTGGACGGATGTTATCATCTTCATCTTCCCTGAGAATACGGTGATCCCGGTCTTCCAACATTGATATACAAAAAAAATATATGGCACAAAGCGCCCACGCTTTTTTCACAATAATACTAGTATTTTTCATTCGTTATTATTTTAAGCTTATTTGAAAAAAATTACTTTTCGGTTCGATATTCTTTAAAAGCGTGTTTTCTTAGTATTTGTAACTATTTTTCTTTTTCATTTTTTAGGTTTATATGCTATAAAAGCGTATTTTTTAGTCTTTTTGAACTATATTTATTTTATCTAAACTTTGGGATCAATCAGCCACATATTTNAGTCGGTCGAAGGCATTGCATGGTCGCGAAAATTTGGGATTCTGTACCAGATACAATAAAAACCGTTAGAAATAAAAATAAATTCAAAAAACAGATTGAAAACTGAAGTGATGATATATTCCGTGAAACCATCAACTAGTAAAATTTAAACAACACTACACTTGCCTGTTAACTTGCCAATTATTTTCAAAATTGACAATTTTTCCGCACAATGTTATTTGTCTATTTTTTTTTATTATTTCCTTTATTCAATTGTCTATGCACGAGTCGATTCAATATTATAATTTGTTTTATGTTTACATTACCAATTTCATTATCAATAGGTTGGCTATACCACACACAAGAAACTCTTTTGAATTATCTTCCGTGGTGTGTTGTTTATTTTTTTTTCTCAGTGATGTAATATTAGCAAAAGGTTACTTGAAATTTTATATTATGAGTAAAATAAACTTTATTATCATTATTATTAAGACACTTGCCTTATCGGCTCTTCAGTACCAAATACGGATAACATTATAAGACAAACCACTCAATTCGTTCATAAAATTAGGACTTTTTGTCACGAAATGAGTTGAATCCACATGACATTCATTCGCTTATTTGATCAAATCCCACCCATAGGAATCTTGTTTAAATTGAAAGGGTATATACTTCTTCATTTTGGTACAATGTGGGAATCTTCCAAGAAAGAGAAGGAAGCCATCAATTTACAAAAATAACTCTTTACAAAAATGTGTAGATCATGCGAAGAAGTATAGTTTTATGATACATCACACTTGGTTATGTCTGATATTTAATGTGACACATCTATAGCCGCACATAAAACCGATTGCTGGTATGGCGACGCGTTCCGTGGCGACGGGTCGCCATGCGCAAGCGACTGCGAGATTCTTTTCCCACTGGTTTGACATTACGTTATCTCTCTCAGTACACTGAGTTCGGATACCTATAGTGTACACATTTGTGTTTACAACAGTATACATAACCTGTGTTTTACTAAATGAATAATTTTTAAAAATAATTAAAAATGAAATATGTCTGACGGTGATAATTTTGAATGTGAAAGTGAAGGCGTTTTTTGTTTTTTGCTGGAGAATGTCTTGGTTACTACTGGACTTATTTTCACATTTGAGTCACATAGAATAACAATGGTCTAACTCCATATGACAACCCTCAGAAGTCTAAACTTGTGCGAGCTAAGGATTAACGAGGTCTTACCTTTTAACGTGAGATTCCTTCATAAAATCAAATTGTGCCGAATAAATTCATAAGCGAATAAGCGAATCTCACCACTGAAATTGACCAGGAAAGAACAAGTTGTTCTCACGCGTCTGCGAATCGGCCATACAAAAATAACACACCTTTACTTGCTCCTAGGAGAACAACATCCTCTATGTACTACATGCCAAACAGTACTAACGATACAACATATACTTATAGAATGTCCAAAATATGAAAAACCAGGAGACAACATAATATAACTGGGGCAATGAAAAATTCTATGTGATGATTGACGAACGTTGAGCAACATGATGGCATTTTTGAAAGATGCAAATATAATAGATGAAATTTGAAAAAGAAACAACAAGTCCGCGGCTAATAACCTAGCAGTTGATGCCGCAAAAAAAATTCATTTTCCCAAATATATGCAATAAATTAATTTACTTAAATATTAAGTTGAAGTTCGTCTTATTTGAATAGAGATGCAAAAATATTGAATCGAAAGCAGTAAGTACTTTGAAAATATTTAAATATTATACTCTGAGACGCATGCAATGCTCTTGCTCTCATTCTCTCGGCTGTGTTTACGGGATATTTGCTCACTACAATTTGTCTGACTGATGAAAAAACGTTGTAATAGTTACCTCAATAACATATTTGAAAACCAAACATGTGAAAATAAGTGAAGTTCATTTATTTATTGTGAAGCTCTAAAGCGTCCATGGAAAGTATCTGACACATATAAAAATCAGTCATGTAAATTTAGGTTGGGTATCTCTTATTTTTAGTTACCTGTCTTACCTAGTACCTGCCCAGGTGTCACAAGACGAGCCCCACAAGCACGCAGGTATTCAAAGAACATGTGACGGTACTGAGAACCTAAGGTATCTTCTATGTGAAAATAAGTTATGTCTGATCACTCTGGGATCTTGAATTATTATCTCTCTCTCTATGTTAATGGCTTGTAAAGTGAAGATGGAATGTAAAGTAGCAAATAAAAGAACTATGAACACAATAACGACGAGATTGACCACTCCGGTGAATTGTAGATAAAAACCGCAACTTATATCTTGCAGTTTCTTTTCCAAAACTAGGCTTATTTTCCAACTTCTTCAACAAATATTGAAAGTGATTTATAATATGGAATTTTTCAAAGTTTTTGAACAGCGTTTGAAATTTGTGATGTTCAAGATGTTCTCTTTATTGCAATTTTGCCGCTTTCCATATATTTCTTCAAGACGGAGAGCCAAGTACGATCCGTTTCTAAAAAGATGTAAGAATGTACACTGATTCCTTGAAGTAACTCCTCTTAGCATATGATTCATTGGCTACCATTTTCTTTTTATTCCACTTCACTAGATGGTCATTATAGGATTGCAAAACATTCTGACAATTTCGATCATATTAATTGTCTACTGCTAATTGTATCTGAAACTCTAGTTAGGAATATCCAAATTTTCTTTTCATTGTCATCCTTTCGATAGAAATGATCATCTCCGTTTCCATTTCCTTCCATGCCTTCCGACGTCTCGTTACTTTCATGAAACTTTACTCTTCTCTAAGTTGATTCCATCCATTTTTATATGGTTGAGACTTTGAGAAGATCAGTATAAATTTGTTTATGAATAATGTCTTTGTCTTTGTCTAACCGCTCGATTCAGTTTCTTAACTTAACTGCCCTCTCTGGACGAGAAGCCGGCCTTTTATATCGGTAAAGGTCCATCGTAGAATTTTGTAGTCTGTTCGGTACTCGCCTAGACTTTTCGCAGCTGTTGCAGACTGCATTCTTTTGCGGTGAGTCATGTATTTATTCGATGAATTGGCTGGCGTATGGATGAGGGGTGGTTTCAGATTTGTTACAATAGTTACTGAATCCCGTGGTATTGTTGCATTGTCATTTGGATCACCCTGATTATGTGGAAGATCTTCTGTGGTCTGGTATTGGTATTTTTATTTTTTGTCCGCGATTCCTTTTGGTTGAGTGTTTTTGTTTTCTATTTTATTTTTATCAGCTTAGGTTTTTGTGTTCCAGTTTTTTTTTTAGCTGTTCCACTTGTTCTTCCAGGATCGATTTGTTTTCTTGGAGTAACCTGATATTGTTTTCTAATGATTTGTAACTAATTTATTCACGTTCCAGGATCCTTTTGATGCATTCATTTTCTACCATCACTTTTTAATTTTTTTTTTTGTAAACTGTAATCCATTGCCATACTTATCTTCAGATTCCTTTAGACCATATAGAATCTAGGGCAATATTTGTGGTGTTTCTCTTCTCTAACCATATTGTTTTCGCAACAAACTACATGTGATGCATAGTTTCTGTTGTACACTTTGTCACACTAGACATTTATTTCTCTCAGTAAATTTCTCTTACAATAATTGCAGAGATCTTCACTCACGTCTGCTTTCGCGGTCATCTAGATAACGTCCTCTCCTCTGCGCTAATAGGTTTTATCAAAATGTTTCCCCCATTTTGCAAACCGTTATCGCGTTCTGTTATAAATAAAATTCATCACACTTTTTTCAACACCAACTTTATAGGAGAAAACGCTGTTTCCACCTGCCATAGGTTTCATCAGCGGTGTTAGGCTGTACCAAGAATGCATTGCTACACTCAACTGTCCCTAAAGAACAAGCTTGACACCATCTATGGTATCGACATAGAACTCAATCCTCGAATATTAAAGATAAACGAGGCTCCCCTTGGTGGTCATTTGGTCCACCGCCGACAAGAGTCGTTCTCTGCCTTCTACTGCAGCTCTCATCGTGAGAAAACTAGTTGAAAACCTCGCGGGAAGGAAGGCTCGTTAATCTTTTATATTCGAGGATTGAGTTCTCTGTCGATTCCATGGATGTCCTCTTCGTAAAGAATGTAATCACCCCCCCTTTTTTATAAACAACTATATCAATATGATCTAACGACTTTTCAAGATCAAGTTATTTGACAATCTCTATTGCGGACTTGATGTCGGCTATCAAAAAAGAATTCGGATCATTATGATTTTGATGTCAAGCTCTGAAAACATCATGGAAGTATCTTTTATGTGATGGTATATTATAAATCATTTTTCCAAAAATAGTGAATATTCCTGTTGTGAATACAATACAATGAAACTCGTATTTCTTTCTTTCATAGTCAACCACCGGAGAGCCTACTGTCTTGTGGGTATCGGGTCTGCATATCCCGGAAACTTTTTTAGCCGCCCTGGTACAAATAGCATGCCGTCTCCACAACTGGCCTTTGGATAGATCCACTCTTTATACTTACGTCACTGAGTATGTGGATCCTATGGATGTCATATTACGTCCATCACAAGTAAGATATATTCAATTTATTTGTATTCCAACAAAAAAAAATTGGAATGAAATATTTCTTTCTAATACATGATGGCAGTATTTTTAAAATAACGCTGAAAACAACAAAACAGTAAAAATATAACAGGCACAGTCTCGAAACTCTGTCTACTGGTGAAATGAATATCCATGATTGTTTTCATTTTTCGTATTTTCCATTGTTGTTTGAACAAATACTAGAAAAATATCATTAATTTTTTCATCTAAAAATACCGTTTCCTTTGATTTGGCGTTACCAGATTTTCTTTCCAATGTTTGGTATTCCCTAAATTGCTTATAGATTTTTTTAAACGGCCCTAGATGTTTTATTGCATTTTATCAATTAGTTTATTTTCCTGAATTCAGTGATATATCACAGCATTCAGTTATTGTTTTCAGGGAATAATTATCATCGTATCTACTAATATTCAATTCATCATCAACAGTATAAATATTTAATAATACATTCCAATAAAAAAAAGTTTGACTCACTGCTGAAATGAACTGAAAACAAATATTTTCCTGTGACAAGAAAGAAAAGAAAACGAAACACTTATTCAACAATTTTTTCTGAAAATATTAAAACATTATTTTACACCCAGTTCCAATCCATGAATTGGAAAAAGCTGTGTCTAAACAATTTTTTTCTCTACTCACATTATGTGATCCGATACCTTGTGTAAGATCATCCATCATTTAGGTTGCCCATTATGAACTAATGTCCGATTAATTTATTGTCTATCAAACGTATCAAATATTCAAGATAGTGATACTAGTCGATACCAGAGCCCAAAATCATTGTTCTTTGTTTAATAATGAAAAAATACGAGTCAAAATTACGTGTCACGTACATACCCATCATTTTTCTTGCTCTCGAACTAATTCGTGTTCTGAAATATCCTTGAACTAATCTAATCTGTCTCTGCAACTCGACGCTTTCATATACTTGTACCATATCCGAATATTCTCGATAATGGTTTGTTATGGAAAAAAACGTATTTTCAAATGATAGTTTTGAATCTAGTTTCAAAAACATTTCATTATTATCATCTACATTGTCAAATGTTTTAGGTCTCAGTAACTAACGTCTAAAGTATTCTAATAATGAATAATACTGGAGTTTCATCCCAACACCAAAACCGTTATTTTTAACACCTCGACACTGGTTTCGATCACCAAGTAATCATCTTCAAGATACCACAGATACACAGATACCTCTGCTAGGTACTTGCATCTTAATTGTCTTGAAATTGATTTCACATCTACTCATTTACTAGTCAGGTAAATCTAATAACTAAAAATATTATTTCAACAAACTATACAGTAAACTATTAGATATTGGTCCACCATAGTTGAAAGGATTTGAGAGGATACTGGACGAACACATCAGGAGGGTGGCATTATTGTGGAATTGGCCGCGATGGTAGTGCGCCCGACTCAAGATCGGAAGGTCGTGGGTTCAATTCCTGCCTCGACCAGATATTTTTCTCGAGAGAATTTATCTGGTTGAAGATTTTAAACAGATATGCATTCTCCCTGAATAACCACCAATATGCTTATCAAACCGGCAAATCGACATATTGAGCATTAAACAACCTTGTAGAGAAAATCTACCAATCACTTGACAACAAGGAGATTGCGGTTGCTGTATTTCTAGATATTGAAGGAGCATTTGACAATGCACTACCTAAATCTATAGGTTCATCTCTGGCTAGGAAATGTATAGAATCGACCATAACTGACTGGATCTATGCCATGCTGGTAAACAGAACTGCAAATACCCCTGTTCAAGGCGGGGCCTTTAGGTTCGGGGTCACCAGAGGCTGCCCTCAAGGTGGGGTACTATCTCCCTTTCTGTCGTCGCTCCTGATGGATAGTCTGCTTGATGCCCTCGACAGAAGAAAATATGATCTGCAAGTTTATGCAGATGACCTTGTCATCTTTGCAATGCCCACGTCGGAAAGGGTAGCTTGTAATAACCTCCAAAGCACGATGGATGTTGTTCACAGTTGATGCCTGAGGGAGCAGATGTCTTCTAGATCTACCTCCTCTCAACATTCGTCTGGAGAGAGGGGCTAGATGGACTACATATAGACTTGTGTACATTACATTCTGGAAATGACCTCTGACTTTATGCCTCCAACTGTCAACTACTGTTTCCGAGTAGAGAGGACTGGATCCTCAGGGAGAAGGATATATTGAGAGCAGATAGTTGTTTCACAGATGGATCAAAAACACCTTCCGGTTCTGGACGGACTGTTCCCGATATCACTTGGCCCATTAATAGTATACCTGACACAAATAGCGCCACGAGTAATTTCGTGCATTTCGTTGCCGATTCAAACCTTTTTCAACTCATCACTGAACCAACTAGATTACGAATCAACAACTAGCCATCTGTTCTTGACCTCATTTTTACCAACGATGAAAACATCATCACAGATCATGAAATCCTACCACCTATTGGATTATCGGTATCGGACCATGCAGTAATCTACGCAACTGTTCAGCTCAACATTCACATGACAAACAAGTAAGAAACCGAAGTTTTCAAAATAATCGACTTTGATCAGTTATCCGAGGAACTTTCTATCATCGATTGGACACAACTGTTTAACGCATGTGATGACGTTGATATTCTCTGGGAAAAATTCTATTCGACCGTAAGTGCCTCTGCTGACAAGAATTCCCGCAACAAAATATGCCGGAAAAATCCATTCAAACCATGGATCAATGTCGAAATAATGTCACTCATACATCACAAAAAAGACTCTGGAAAATATACAAAATATCAAAAGCCGCAGAAGATTACCAAGTTCATCGAAATTTCTCAAAACACTTGGTATCAACAATACGATCTTCACGTCGTGAGTTCGAAGAATCTATCGCAGACTCTGAAAACAATAAAAAACTGTAAAGTTCATACGATTTAACATGAACACCAAAGTAAGCATTCCGCTCCTACGAAAACCTGACGGTTTCTTGTGTTCTACAGACATCGAATCAGCAGAATTTTGGCCGATTCTTTCACGGTTGAGCTTCGAGATGACCAATTACCATAAATTATAGCAGAACGACTACGTAATAATCTGACTAATGTGACGTTTACTTCGAAAAAAATTATAAATCATTTATTGAACATTAAATCGAACATTAAATCTCCTGGTTTGGATGGAATGAGCCCCTTCTTTCTCAAAAGGTTTGCCGAAACTCTGCTCTCCGTTGTCAATAATCATGTCAGTCTCTTTCGCAAAATCTCGCATCCCACGGGCTTGGAAGAAGGCATATGTCACCGTTATTTTCAAAAAAGGCGATAAACTCAATCCAATTAGGTAACTACAGGTCCATTAGTCTTTCATCCGTCCTTCCAAAGTAATGGAATCCATCATCGTTGAAGATATGTCAGAATTTTTAACAAAAAACGCAATCATACCACCAGAACAACATGGTTTCGTCAAAGGTAGATCAACCACCAGCAATCTACTACAGTGCATGAACGATTGGACGACAGCTTACGATAGGAAAACACAGACAGATATCGGTTATCTTGACTTTGCCGAGGCTTTCGACAGGGTCCCAGGGAGGAGGCTAATGCACAAACTTGACACACACGGTATTCGAGGCCAACTAAACCTATGGATTGAAAATTACATGACATATAGAACTTTCTCGGTCAAAGTGGGTCACTCTTTTTCTTCGCACAGACAAGTCACAAGTGGAGTTCCTCAGGGATCTGTTCTTGGCCCGCTCCTCTTCGTTGTTTATGCAAGTGATCTTGCTCTTCACATAAAGTCCAGAAAGTCGTTTCATGCCGATGATAGTAAACTGTATGGAAATGCCTTGGTCGAACATAATTCCCTTCAAGAAGACCTCAACTCGATTAATCAGTGGTGCGAAGATTGGCTTCTACCTCTTAACGTCAACAAATGCGTCGTACTTCATCAAGGAAAGAACAATCCACTCCATACGTACACAATAAGCGGTACAGTGTCCTCACATGTATACTTGGGAGTGACTATTAATACTGACTTAACTTGATCCGAACATATAATATTCACATGCAAACGCGCAAACACACTGATTTATCTCATCCGCAAAACGTTCCTCCATCTATCATATCAAAGTTCCATAAAACTCTACAAAACCCACGTTCGTCTAATCATGGAGTATGCAGGTCCAGTGTGGTGTCCTGTTCCGGTGCGCGATAGGAACTTGTTGGAAAATGTACAGCGTCGAGCCACACGTATGACTTTTGGTGAAGTGCGTCCAACCTATCCTGCTAGCTTTTGACCAACTGCTAGCTTTTGAGGTTCGTGGGAACCTCATCATTTCTTTCCGTATAGCTAAGTATAACTATGCTAATCAGAAAGAACTTTTTGTTTTCAACAATGATTCGCGGTTACGTGGTCACACACTCAAATTAAAAAAGGAAAAATTTGCAACGAGGCAAAGACAATATTTTTTGGTGAATCGTATTTTCGAAACATGGAATAACTTACCCAACGATGTTATGAATTCCGACTCAATGAACAGTTTCAAAAACAAAATAGGCATTTGCTTAGTTGCTTAATCGTCTCTATGCATATATCATTTATTTTTCTTTTCTTTTTGCATGCATTGTATTAACTTGTTGATATCCTTCGTTTTTAGGCTTACATAAGACTTTTCCCTCAGCCTTTATCTATATGTAATAATAATAATAATAACTAATCTTAATGAACTCAAGTCTATGGAATGGTTTTGTTGCAAAACATGATGGGCGACTGCGGTTTTTTTGGTCTTCCACATTTTAGGAGGTGTTAAAAATAACGGTTTGGTGTTGGGATAAAACTACAGTAATATTCATTACTACACCAAAAGTCCCAAACAGTGCATCACAAGTATTCTAATGATGTATCAGCAGGATTTTTCACCATGTTCTTCTTTCGATATTGTTTTAGGGAAACTGTTTATTGCATGGGCTCTACCTAGAAGGAGCAGCCTGGGATCTGGAAAACAACTGCTTGAAGAGATCAACTCCAAAAGTACTCATTGAGAAACTTCCGGTTCTAGGAGTTGTTCCTATTGAGGCGTTTCGTCTAAAGTTACAAAACACCCTGAGAACTCCTGTATACACAACTTCTTTGAGGAGGAACGCCATGGGTGTAGGACTGGTTTTTGAAGCGGATTTGCGAACCACTGAACATACCAGTCATTGGATACTACAGGGTGTTTGTTTAGTTTTGAATACAGATTGATTAATTTTTTTGTAGATCAAGCAAATAATATTATATTTTGTGTGATAGTTCAATAGAAATAAATTATTTTTATTTGGTACAATAATTCTTCACAAATTAAAATGATACGAAATGCTCGTTGTGGAAGGATAAATTTGATAAACCGCACTTTTATCAAATTCAACGATCAGCAAGCTGAAAATTTAAATAATAGATTATTAGAGTATCATACCAAGATTAAAACATGATTTATTATAAACAGATAGCGTCACGATAAAAAGTGAATGTGTGTTTGTTTGTGTGTGTGTGTGTGTGCGTTGTAGAGATGAAATGAGTTTGCTTATTTTCTAGAAGCAAAAGAAACTGATTTTTGGTCTAAATAAGTTTGTGAGCGAACTAATAATAATGAGGCCAACAGTTTCATTCATTTCGAGCAAATATAATGTATATAATGAGCATGAGAGTGAATGCATTGAATGTACGAATGTATTAACCTCCCACCTTTCAATTTGTCTTCTTTACATCCTTAACTTCCCCTTCCTTCATCTGTCCCTTTCCAAAAATTTTAGCGAGACTGTCCCAGATGCCACCAAAGAAGAGTGCGCACATCAAGTTCTCGAAAGGAATGAAAGGATCGTGGATGCCAAGGATGATTGAGGATAGTTTGAAGTAGACGAAAAATATCACGATGCCGAAGTAGACCAAGGCGTGTGGAGCTGAGATCAATTCCGTCTTCTTGTCCAAAATGAAAATAACGGAGGCCACTAAAGATGCCTTTGTGTAGCTGAAAATGAAATCGAATAATAATGACAGAATTTCTTACGTCCGCAGGGATTCTAGGTGGTATTCTCACGAGCAACCGGACTCAAGAATACTCTACTCTGTATTCATAATTTCAATGCCAATGTTTCGACAATTATTCTCGCCTTCTTCTGATTCGATGAGGTAACGGTTGAAGTGCTCGAGTTGGTGGTCCAGTCGCTGTTTTCGTTGTTCTCAACGCAGAAACCACAGTGCAGGTATTTGACTCCGATTTTATACGTTATGGATTTTCATCAAGTATCGACCGATTCCATCACATACAGGGTGTTTCAAATTCAATCCTCACCATCGGGATCTCGGAAACTACGAGAGATACGAATATGATATTGGAACAAAGTCGCGAATTTACCTGACTAGCAATATGCCGTTGAGAAATTCCGAGTATATCCAGAGATATCCGAAAAAAACAGAAATTTCGGAAAATTGTTTTTATTTTTTTCTGACTTTAATTTTCGAAGGATTTGAAAATAAATTACTCTTCCACACTGCCACTTTTTCCTTGCTACATTATGGTGTAGATTTGGTATCCGACGTTTCGTCTTCCGGACACCATCATCAACTTTATTTTTTCTTATGGGCGCTACATTGGATTCTTTCTGATTTGAATAGAACCAGATTTCACTTTTTCAATGATGTATATAAGTTATAATTCTTGTTCGAAAAATTGAAGATATTGAAAAAAATTTTAGTTTCTAAATTTGACTTTCAATTTGTTACACTCAATGACATTTTGTTATTGCACAAGTCATTGAATTTTTTGGCGAAAAATGGCTTTCACGAATGAGTAAAAAAGAGATATGATACAAATTTATAACAAATACGATAGAAACAGTGTTAGGACATTGCAAATGTATTTAAACTTGTATCCTGAAAGACGACAACCACATCGAACTATGTTCAAGTTATTGGATCAAAATGTCACCGAGTTTGGTTCGTTTGAGAAGCCAATTAAAAGCACGGAGACAGAATCAACAATCAGAATTTGATAAATGAGATATGTATGAGGTAAATTAGACATTGTGTCCTTTTCGAAGAAAATAGAACTTTGAACAAATAACAATAATTAAGTAAAATGTAAAGACAAAAGTAAATCACAGCAAATGCTCAAAATGCTGTCTTTGTTCATGATAACACAACTGTACCCTTCTTCGAATATTATTCACTGCACGATTAATTCCCCTTCTTCTCAATCTTCCGAACTCTCTAACAATGCTGTGTTGAAGGTCCTCAATATTTTGATATTCCCTCTGACCATAAACTCTATTTTTCAGTGTACCACATGAGAATGTATCCATAACAATTAAGTCTGGAGACCTTGCTGGCCACCTCACTGGCCCATTATTCCCTATCCATTTATCATCAAACTCTTCAGTCAGGTAATTAGATACCCGTCTGGTAGTGTGCGGTGGAGCACTATCATATTGAAACCAGATGTTATAGTTAGCCAAAGGTAGCTCATCCAAATAGTCTTCGAATATCGACATTAAAATCTGGTGATAGATTTCTTCATTCAGAATTCCGTCGAATAAATGAGGACCCAAAATTCTATCTTTGTGAATTCCTCCAAATGTGTTCGTTATTTCGGTTGAATATCCCACAATTCGTAAAAGTGCTTTCATCTGTCCAAATTTAATTTTCCAGGAAAATAGGAGAATCAGGTCTTCTTATTAGCCGATTACAAAATTCTAATCGCCTTTCGGGATCACCTGGATGCAATTTTTAAGATATGTGTATTTTGTAACATTTTAAACCGCTTTTTTGAGATCCAAGCACTTGTATGACAAATATTCATTTCGGAGGAAATTTGACGTGTAGATTTCTCCAGGTTCATGTTTATCTGCAAATTATTTATTTTCATTGAAAAGGGCGCAATATCTAACTTACCTCATACATACCTCATTTATCAAATTTTCTTTAGTTTCCTGGTCCATTCTGTCTCCGTAGATTTTCCTCGTCTTTTCAAATGAACCAAACTCGGTGAGATTTTGATCCAATAACTTGAACATAGTTCGATGTGGTTGTCATCTTTTGGGATACAAGTTTAAGTACATTTCCGATGTCCTAACACTGTTTCTCTCGTATTTGTAATAAACTTGTATCATATCTCTTTTTTTCCTTCGTGAAAGCCATTTTTCGCCAAAAATTCAATGACTTGTTCAATAACAAAATGTCATTGAGTGTAACAAATTGAAAGTCAAATTTAGAAACATCAAAGTCAAAGCCTATTCTGATTAGAATGATTTTTTTTCAATATCTCCAATTTTTCGAAAAAGAATGATAACCTATGATACATCATTGAAAAGGTAAAATCTGGTTCTATTCAGAACAGAAGGAATCCTGTGTAGCGCCCATGAGAAAAAATAAAGTTGATGATGGTGGCCGGAAAACGATACGTCGGATAGCAAATCTGAAAAGACCAGTATGTAGCAGGGAAAAAGTGGCAATGTGGAAGTGCAATTTATTTTCGAATCCTTCGAAGAATAAAACCGGAAAAAATGAAAACATTTTCCCAAATTTCTGTTTTTTCCTGATATCTCCGGATATACTCGGAATTTCAACTTTCTCAACGGCATATTGTTAGTCAGGCAAATGCGCAACTTTGCCCCATTTAACCATCCTCGTATCTCTCATAGTTCCCGAGATCCCAATGGTGAGGATCGAATTTGAAACGCTCTGTATACGATTTCATATTATTATAGGTGGGCGTTGCTTGATTTTTGTAAATTGGATTACCACACTATTTGTGTACAATTAAGGACAGGTGGCCAGATTTTATTTATGTTCATTGCCTCTTCTTTTCTATTGAAATTACCCATGTGTTTTTGAATTTCTATTGCCTCTCTATATACTCTAGGATTGTAATTTTGGGTTTCATCGAGTATTACTGTATCTTCTCTAAGATTTTCCCAATCCAGATGGTAACATTTTTATAAAGGGAATGAAAGCTTTTCTGCTGACTAACCTAGCTGGGGTTGCTTTGGAGATCTCTCTCCTGGGTCATATGGCCTGCTAGAATTCTCCCTCGCTGTACCCATTCCCTTTGAAGGTATTTTTTAGGCGATTGAGTTTATTACCAAGACTCTCAGGTTCATATATACGTGTGCTCTCTCAACCAACATTTCAATTACCCCTTTGTTTTATTATGGCTGGTGATTAGAGTTTTTGTTCAGGTACCTGTCTGTGTGCGTTAGTTTGCTGTACACTCTGTGGCCCAATGTGCCATCTTCACCTTTGTACACAAGAACGTCCAAGAAGGCTAGAGTCCCTTGGGTTTCTAGTTACATTTTGAATTGGATTTTTGGGTCGAGAGAATTTAGATAAGATAGAAAATCGTTAAGTGTCTCTTCACCATCTTGCCATACCAAAAATGTGTCATCAACATAACGCAGCCCACAATATGGTTTCACGGCTGCTTGCTCTAAGGCCCGTTGTTCGAAATTTTCAATAAAAAAAATTGCCACCGCCGGACTTAGGGACTGCATGTTGCGGTACCGTCCGTTTGTTCATGAAAAACACCAACTCACTGGAGATAAATTGATGATAAATAATGAGTGGAGATGGCGGTTATATTTACTGGGAATACTTCGTGTTCTTAGTCGGAACCATCGTGTACCTACAAGGAGACCACGTTTAAGTTCACTATTATGTCTCCAGGATCTAACTTTATACCTCTACTCTTTTCAATAAAGTGCCCCGTGTCTTTAATGAATGACTCTTTCTACAAACGACTGTAGTAGAGTTGTCAAGTATTTAACGAGCTCATAAGTTGGTAAATCCGTTTACGATAGTCTAAATGGCACATTCTCTTTATGAATTTTTGGTAAGCCATATAGACGTGGCGGAAAGGCTTCGGACTTTTGTATGACCTTCTTAGGTTGGTGTTCTCTCGAAGACTTGATGAACGAATAAGAATATTCATTTTTCTGAAAATTCCGGAGGTCGAGTCCCGAATGGGTATTTTATATATCGAGTAAGGCGACAATTTCCTCGTTATAATCGTTGGTGTTCATCACGACGGTGGCATTTTCTTTATCAGCAGGCAATACCGCTTATAATAATTTAAAACCGGAGTCAAATAACAGCATTGCAGTTTTTGCGTTGGGAATAACGGAAACAACTCGACCACCAACTCGAGCACTTCGACCGTTACTGTTTCGCCTTTGATAATGTATACCTAAACAGTAGACGAAACGTCAAGCATAAAAACTTACAGACCACGGCCAAAAAAACCGGAAAGTAACTTTGACACAGTTATGTTCGGCCGTGAAACTTTACATTCTAAGAATTTATTTGGTCATGTTTGAATAAGTGTGAGTTACAACAAGCTCTTGCGGATTGAAAGAGAGAATCTTTTACTTTGGTTTTACCCCTATTTAAACTCGTATAATATAGAATTGGCCTCTTGGCCCACTAGATTGCAGCTATACAAAAAGCTCTAACGATAATTTAGGTTCAAATTTGGCATCTAGAGTCGTTCGTTCGGGCCACTGCTGATAGGGAGTACACGCATGTTATCAATATGAAATTCGGAATAGACAAATGTGCAATGGTCCATCTCAAAAGATGACGATGCGGGGACTGTGGAAAGGATGTGCAGCTTGTAGATGGAAGCATCCTACACCATCTGGATGCCGGAGAGACGTATACTCCGCGGCAAGTATCACCACAAACTTCGACAGATCTGGTCATCGGAACTGTCGGGGAAGAACAACAAATATGCTTGCCGTTCCAATCTTACTCCTCTACTCGTTTGGAGTAGTGAAGTGGTCACGGGAGGAGCTGTATCAACTCGACGTAAAGACCTGAAAAATTATACATCTCTATAGATGTATCCGTTCCACGGTTGTACTTTCCTTGACAACAGGGAGGCCGAGGACTTTTGAATTTGGAGTGTCTACATGACAGAATAGTTGTAAAGTCGTCAGGACTTCGGATCCCCTTCTCTGCATGGTCTGTGGCCATGACAGAGCAGGAATTGGAGCATTTCTCTTCAGGGCAGCTGCCCGAGCAGCTGATAAACTCGGTTTAGTTTCGACACTGAACTAGGTGACCACAACTCTGTCACCGAGTTGGAACCCTTTCAGCTCATATAAAAGACGCAGAGATCACCTCACTTCTGCGGAAACACAAGGATAAGCCAATGCATGGGTCTTCTTTAATAACATTGAAGACCTTGGCTTATCAAAGCGCCTGACTTTCGCTTTCCTCAGGTCGAGTGGGCTGAAGTCGGAAACTGAGGGGTTCATCATGGCTTGCCAGGATGGTGTCTTTAACACCTTAGTCTACCGCAGTCGTATGATGGGTATAGAGGTTCCTAACACATGATGCAGGGCCTGCCGCGACGCGCCCGAGACCCTAATGCATTTGCTATCAGCATATCCAGCATATGCGGTCTTGGCCTATATCCATCGACATAACGCGGCCCTAAGAGTGCTATATTTCCATCTATGGCATCTAACGGTATTGGCTAGAGGAGGATAGGGCCTGACCACCGCGTATACTTCGTTAAAAATAATAAAAATAATAAAGGGTCTACATTTACTTGGCGGAGTTCAGCACAGCTATTCTTGAAAACGATTATTTTTCCATCTATCAACATGTGTGTTGGGTCGATCTCATTTCTTGCTTCGGGAGATTTTGACAGAACGAAGCGAATCGGTAAAAACACCAAAGTTTCTATACATTTACCTACAGATCATTTTCGGGGTATTAGCCCTCGTCAGTGTAAGAAAGATTCGACCCAAAGAACTGTGTGCCTTTAACTCAACTAACGTCAAACGTGATTCGACTACATATATGAAACCTTCGCTATCTATCCCAACCTATCCCAACGTTCCTTCACAGTAGTATCTTGTGAATACCTGCCGGAAAACAATAAATTCATTTTTCAAACCGAAATAATATGAAAATAAATGAGTATAATATTTGAAAATGTTGTTTGTCGCTGAAAAACAAGGGAGTTAGCCTCTACGCATAATCATAAACTATAAATTTTTAATTAAAAAAAATACTCACAAACTTGGCTGCATGAACTCCATGGCTGTTGGAGTCCAAACGCCCCGAATGAGTCTTTCCATGAGCCTGGTGAATCCGGCACCGTTGCCTTTGAGAGTTCCGATGATGACCATGATTAGATATGCGTTGGGATAGAGTTTTGCAGCATGGGTTACACCATCGTATACCTTTTTACATCTGTAAATTTCTTTCATTGCAGAAAATATGATTTTGACAGGTAGAAATTTCGCCAGTTTATACCCTAAGTCCATAGGTGTATAGAACACCACATACCTAAAAATGTAACAATATAATCAACTGGAATGAAGACTAAGAAAATACAGCAGCTACTTAAGGATACTATGAAAATTGTTCAAAGTGTTCATTTGCTCTTAAATATTTCTTCCATTTATGGCAAAAATCTTTAGAGATTTATTATCTTACCATACAAGTGTAGCAACCAGAATTTGTGGAGTGTTTTTCAATGGGGCTAAAATAGGTTCTGCAAGGAGTCCGTTGGCTACCATACCCCCTGCAAATACCACCAACATATAGGATAACCAGCATGCTAAAGGGTGCTTTCTTGAGAATGCTTGAGCTCCTAAAAAAGAACAGTTCAGCTGTATAATGATGATAATCATTTCGAAATGAAAAAGTAGTCGATAGAGACTATATTTATGTGATTAACAGACAAAGATTTATGGATAACCTTGGTAACAAAAATTGTCTGACAACTGTGTAATGAAACTGCAGAGAAAAATTGATTACACATACGTTCGAAAGAGTTAATAATAAATTCGTCAATTTTTCAAATCGTGTAACAAAAATCCCATTATAACCAAGAAAATGCTTAATTTTGGCAATATATTTGATAATATCCATCACTTCTTGTTCAGTAACATAATGCGTTTACTTCTCTCACATTTCAAATCGATCAATTGATTTCCTTATATCAAAACCATTATATAAACCATTGAAATTGCCGTTAAACAAAAACGTCACCTAAAAATCTGCTTCGCAAATGCATTTAGAATTCGCCAATTATCTACTTGTGTTTCTTGCAAAAGGGGAGGTTTTTCGCCTTTTTTAGAATTAATATCAATATTCTTTTTTCTTTCCCTCATCCCTAGTTATTAAATTGAAACCTTCTCATAAAACCATGATCTGAGAGTTCACAACCTGAGATATTTCTACAAAATATCTTGGATTTCTTCGTATAAACTACGCAACATACATACGAAATTTCTTTTATTGATAGTTTCATTTGAAAATTGATTTTGGTTTCAATTTCCACTGGGATCAAGATAAAATACGACTGAAAAATAGTAGTAATGTGTGACGCATCATCTATCAAATTATGACTTTCAAACAAAAAACTTTCAAAAAGAGATACTTATTTCTCAAAATATTGAAAAAAAGTTCATCCGAAAATTCAGTTTTAAATGCAATTTTTGGTACATATGTGAAATTTCGGTTGCATATTTTAATTTTACCTTTTTTGCTATTTTTCGTAAATCACACCTTTGCTGCAAAATAAGATTCAACACATATCATTAATTTATTTTAGGTTTGCAAATGTATTAACAATAGATAAATAGTTTCAAAATACACTTATATCAGTTTACATCTGTTGTGTGGAATTGCCATTCCAGGTTTTCTTTTCATCATCACTATTATTATTATCACCCAATCTATGAATATTGCTATTGCCTTGTCGTTTGATGACTGTTGTTTCACGAACCCTCTTATTCTGTTGATCCACCCTGGATTCTGTAGATTCTTCGGCAGGCCTTTTACTTCCTGCCACATTTGGATTGGTACCAAAATTAAAAATCTTCAGATATCCAAAAATATTCCAAATTGGAGCAAGAAAAGACCAGATCATAGATGAGAACGTTCCTCCGGGATGAGTTGACACCATTCCCTGATTTACTGGTAAAACCAAAATAACAGCATTAGGAACTAACTGCAGATCCACCAATGTTTGAGAATAATCATTATTGGTGAATTCCTTTCTAGGAAATGTAGTGGACGGAGTAAAATCACTAAATGGTTATTTTAAATTGGCTTTGATGTAGGAAACGACTTCCTGCATTGGGTCAGAACTAGCAAATTCTTGTGTGTTAGATGAGCCATGTAGTCGGAACCGAAGACGAGTTGTATTCGACTTGACTAAGGGAACAGTAGGCTGAGTTGATTTGGGTATTTCGCTCACGGACTGCATTTGGGGTTGCGATTTTGATAATCGTTCCGCTCTATCTTGAGCAATTTGTGCCAATACTCGTTCTCTAGCTAGTTGATTCTCACGTTTCTCTCTGTCGCGTTCTTCTTTGAAGTTGTTTCAGTTCTTGATCTTCTTGCCATTTGTTCATCTGTTGAACATTCTGACCCATCTTGCGTCTTTCTAACTCTCTGAGACGTTCATTCTCCTTCTCTTCTCTTTCTTTTTCTTTTCGTTTAACTTCTAACGACACTTGTGCTCTTTGAATTTTCTCTTCATCGGTTAACTTTACACTTCCTTCATTTTTAGAAGAAGCACTGTGGTTTCCAGTGTCAGGAATATTTTCCTTTTCATCATCCTGAGAAGGCTCATCACTTTTAATTTGACATACTCCGTTTTTACATTGCATTTGGTCTGATACTTCAGTTCGTTCTGCACTTATCAGACTCGCAGAAAGGTTTGCTGCTGAACTACCTTTTGTGTTCATAGTTATTCCAGCCTTAGATGAAATATTGTCAACTCTTTTGGTAACATCTTCTAGATTATCATTACCAGTTATGATGTCTAGAGGCGTTCCACTTTTTCCAATGAAATAAATCGAAGGAACACTTGGTTCTTTATATATTTCACTGAACTGTTGATGAGGAACTGAACCAGCCTCTAGTTTTATTGCTACAAAATGTTCCTGTTCTATTTTTTTTCCAAGTGCACCATTTTCGATGAGACTAGATATTTTTAGTGATTGTTCAATGTAAACAATGAAAATCGCCCCCTTGGATTTAGAATATCCAATTGCTTCAGCTATTGCTCCAGGGTACCACTTCATATTGTTATTCTTTTCTATCTTAAATTTAAAATATTCAGGAATGAAAAAAAATTGAAAAAATTGCATCAACACATTCAACATAAAACTTAATTTTGAGAATTACATTTTCTTTAAAGTAGTGTCTTATTGAATGAGTTTTTTCTATTAATTCCAGATGAAAGCTATTCAAATTTGGTCATATTTGATAGTTTATTTTGACGTGTTTGAAAGTAAAATATCATTATCATCAGTGAAGTCTGCATTAAATGAAAAATTCATTTACGATTAACTTTTTACGAAAAATTCAATAATTCATATTCTTGATATCAAAATAAATGAAGAAACAATCTATAGGAAATGAACCAACATTGCATACAGGATAGTTTTGAGTATCATCCAAAAGTTGTGATTCACCACAGGGTGTCTGAAACAAAGATAACTTTGTTTTCACTCGTCTCTCGTATGTGTGTAAATCGGGGCTTATAAGAAAATGTGTTTGAATGAATTGATCTGGGATTAATTTCTTTCATCTATTATAAAATATAGTATAAAAATCGGTCTGAAAATAAAAAAGTTATTCAGAAACAAAATTTGTTAATATTTCAATATCGCTTTTTTGGATGCACCTGAGTGTATTTTATTACTTTTGTATTTTATTACTTTTTTATTTTACTTTTTTATTACTTTTGAAAAACTCCACTTTTGGAATTTTCATATTAATGGTTATAATTTTCAAAATACTAAACCCTTTTCCTTCCGGTCCGAGAAGTTATATCACAGCCACAGCAGTATTCCGCGCTTTTACAGACGTTGAATCATTCCAGGGCACAGTTCGCCCGAGAACGAGAAAGAAACCGCAGTCGAAGCCGATTTCACACACTAAAAACAGTACATACCAGTTCCAAGGTCTTCCCTCACCGAAAGAGCGCACAGCGTGCAATGCGCTATATCGAAGTACGGAAACATCTTCAGCTTCACCACCTGGTTGGCGATGTCCAAAAACGCTTCCGGATCCATTATGTCGGAGTTATTTGCACTTTTACCGGAAGTTTAAAATATTTCGCGTGAAACGAAAACTAATCAGCGAAGCTGGGACATTTCTCAAAGGCTGGCAACGGACTGAGCGGTGAGGTGTGTCGTCGCATCTGGTCTAATTTTAAGTCGCTCGCGGATCCCAATATTTTTAACTAAACCACAGAAATATCGCCGCATGAACACAACGCGGATGTGACGCGGACGTGAGAAGCGCATAACTGTGTCTGAAGTTTGATAAGAAAGCAACTAAAACGGAAATTATCATTTTTCCATGCAAGAAATTATTCCTGCAATCCCATTTCATCCAATCATCTGTAAATTACTGTGTTCCGAAAAGAGTGTAATTTGGAATTCATGAATTAATATGTACTAAGTCAAATATCAAATATTTTAAGGACAAAAACTCCGCAGTCCCAAAATATCAATTTTGATAGACGTCGTAAAAGAGTAAAACAGTTCAAGGTTCATAAAATCCCCTTCCAATAATATCGCCCGTTTCTGAAAAAAGAATGCGTAGACGTAACTTAGAGAACGAATAATAGTCTGAGTAAATTTATTGTAAACAAAAAAGACGAAACTTCGATGTCGGATAGATCAGGAGTGTAAGCTGACTTGTGGCTCTTGCTCAAAACTGTATATTGGCCAAACAGGGAGAACGTTTTCCCAAAGAATTAAAGAACGTAGGAGCAAAGAAAATTACTGGAGGTTTTTTCCCAACACCAAACCGTTATTTAAACAATAACGGTTGGGAAAAACTCCAGTAATATTAACCAAAGGTTCCAAACAGTGCATTGCGAGCATAGAAGTAGTTTTGTTAATAGAAAGACCAATTCCATATTTGCAAACCACCTTTAGAAGGGCATGATTTGAATCATGTATACCTTCGACGTGTTACGTTCAGAAGAGAAAAGTTTGAAACTTAATCTTATTGAATGTTTAGAAATCAATAGAGTTGAGAATTTGGGTACGGGAGAAGAGTATGATTTGCGAAGTTGTTAAGACGTAGAAATAGGGAAGTTGGAAATATTTGCAAAAAAATAATATGGACGGACGAATCAAAATTCACCAATAATGGTTGGTTTAACAACTACAAATGAACATTTGCATAGGGAAACCATTTTCCAAGAAAGGTTCGGAATAAATGTTTGGTTTGGAATTGTGGGAACAAACATCCTTGGCCCTTATACGATGATCATTTGAGTAGTGATATGTATCTTCATTTTTTATTCGAATACAATAGCATTATCAGAAATAACAATTCCATTTGAACAAAAAAATAAAAACAGTATTTTTGGTTTTCCCCGTATAACTCGAGGAGGGCGAGAGTCCCCGTAAAATTTCTTCGTCCATTGTATTGTTCCCGGTCACAATTACCTTTTTTCCCATTTAATCGTCTTCGTCTGTTACGGTTTAGAATATAGGAATGTTACCACATGATAAAAGAAACGGCCTGTATGCAATATACAATTCTTAAAAGATACGTGTTTTTTAAGATTCCAATCTATTCATACTTATACACAACTATTTTACAAAGTGATGTCACTTGTCCGTCAAACGCTGATAATACCAAAGGCCGATAATACCAAACGCCAATCCAGAACCTGTTGAAGTTGAATATTTACATTATTGTTGCTACTTTGTTGACAATATTGGTTAAACACGAATACTAGGTGAGTTTGCGATATCTAATTAGTTTGTGAATTTCATTGATGAAGAATATATCTATCGTATGATAGATAAATGAATAATTGATAACGTTCGTAAGTTCGTATAAATATAATATTCTCTACGTTTGCAGTATTTTTAGGTTAACGTCAACAAAAGTATTGGCCATGGCTCATAACTCGCTTCCGTGAATCTACGATTATGGGCGGCTGTATTCTGTTGTTAACTTCGTGAATTTGTGTTGTTTTCTGCAATCAAGTATTACCCATTCTTGCACTTGGCTATACATACTGATGGAAACTAATATACATATATGGATTAACGGGGTCTCTCAGTCAAAAAATCAAATCTCTTACTTTGCCAAGCTTTCGCTTCTAACGGGAAGCTTCTTCAGGGCAGTAAAAATGAGTGAAAAACAATAAATTAGCATTTTTACTCATATAATTGTATAAATTTTTCTAAGAATTTTACAGTTATTCTAAAATGTGCATTGTAAAGAAAGTATCCAATTTAATTGTATTTATGGCTCAGTATTTTACATATAGTGGCTACCACATTAGAGGTAGATGTATGTTATCGCGAACTTTTATTTAGAACTATTTAAGATAAACAATCTTATGATACAGTATCTTCATGCAACTGCAACGATATAGGCAGACTTTCACATTTATAATATTAGTATAGAAGATATGTATAGATGTATAGGTGTTAAGTTTTTTTTTGTTTGTTGAAGGTGACTCAGAATGTCTGGAGACTCTAGAGGCTTCGTTTTATCTCTTGATGTGGGTACAACAACTCTTTCTTGTCACTTATTTAATTCAGCTTGTGCGTCAGTAGCATCTTCTAGTCAATATGTAAGTAGTTTAACGAAATATTTAAAAAAAAAAACTAATGGTGACATTATACGTCAAAGTTGAACTTCCAAATCCCACAGTAACGTTGTTCAAAAATAGTCAGGTATCACTGAAGGTTCTGATGTTTCCAAATATGACCGTTTTTGAAGGTTTCTCCACTTTCTCATCATTTTTATTGGTTGTTGATGTGCTGGGGCGTCCAGGACGAGCGCCGTTATTCACATTTCCTCGATCTTCTGTGAAAAGCTTGTACCACTTGTAAACTTTTTTCTGACTCGGAGTACAATCACCGTATACCACTGTCAGCATTTCAAGTGTTTTCGAGCAGAAAATCGCCGAACACGCAACACCAACAAACTAAACATGCTGAACAACTGGAACTGTGAACATATGTTCGAGACGAGTGTAACAACATTAAAAAATCTCTAATTGAATGTGTGTAGCCCACGAAATGTGAACATTTACCTTTTTTGTTGAATAGTCCACGTAAATCTATTATTCAAAGAAGGGGAACCAGGAGATGAAAAACGGATAAATGTTCAAACACAATTGTTACACGACAACAACAAGGCAACTATTGAATTGTATGTTCTACTGTATAACATCGTTTACTAGAAGAAAAACTTTTATTCATATTTTTTTCAATCATCACTACGTCTCTACGTCACTCTCAAATTGTCAGATTAGTGGAATATACACTTTTCGGCATGTAATTAACTCACCCTACCTTAATCTGACGCGCTCAATAATTTCTGATGATCCTAATCTAATCCTTTATTCTTCACGGGCAGCCTTATATATGGGGCTCATATTTGGTGGAGGCACTTAACCGGTATGTTAATCTGCCGCACTTTAGTAAATCCCGAAATCCCCGCTTGGGCTCTCCTATTATCACTATACACAAAAGAGAAATATGAATAACATGTGTTTTGTATCCGGTAATTCTTAAAATAAAAATTAATTGGTACTGCGGGGCGACTTGATTAATTCCAATAGCACATTTGCTTTTTAAGCTGCAGGAAAACCCGGAGAAACCTGCAGCACCACATCTGAAGATCTTGATCTGCCAATGTCTTCTCTTTCATATAATAAAATGTGGGGTTTCTCCAGGGGCTCCAATAGACTCGACTATCGTCAAACTTAAACCAGTCCGTTTCGTCTTTGACCAAGGCGTAATAATGACCATATTCAACGCCAGAACCACAGTGAACAATGACTGCATGAAGATTATAATAGTGGTCTGCTAGATTGAAGTGTTCATCTATTTCGAACCTTCGTTATGAAACATCAGAACAAATGCTTGTTGGTGTGATGGGCTGAATGTTAGGTTGATCAAACTGTGTTGTCCGAACATCGTACAATATATTACACATATAATCAACAACTTGTCAACGTTTTAGCTGAAAAGTCTAGTCCTACTGAATATAAGGACTTGCGAGCAATAAGCATTTCACCAACATTGTCCAAAGTATTGGAGGGGGCTATCGAATTGCAGCTTCGAGGTCATCTGGAAAAATGTTCATCACTTCCTACATTTTAATCTGGATTTCGAGAGAGCTACAGTTGCACAACTGCCACAGGGATTTATTTTAGGGCCGTTAATGTTCACCATATACACTTCGGGTCTCAAAGGTTCACTTGAAAAATATTCGTCTCATCTTTATGCTGATAACACACAAATATTTTACAGCTTTCCTCTAGAATACAAACAAACTGCCTCCTTTCTCATCAATACAGACATTGATGATTTCGTTAAATATGTTTCAGATCACTGTTTAAAGATAAATTCCAGTAAATCCAATATTATTGTATTGGACCAAAAATCTTCGTGACTCATGTTCCAACATGAACATCAATATCGACAATGAAGCGCTGGCATTGGTTAATGAAGCTGAAAGCCTCGATATTTTGATAGATACTAACTTGAAATTCGAAAAGTATATCAATTATCTATCACAACGAGCATATTCAATTTTTAAAACGATATACGGAAGTCGAAAAGCACCGTATGTGAAAGCTATTCTTTGTGAGACATTGGTGCTGTCATTGTTCGATTATGGTAATTCTCTTTATGCTCCTTGGTCAACAAGCCATTATCAAAACCAAATTCAAAAGATACAAAGCATTTCACATTTCGAAAATCACCCGAAAATCAACTGTAATCAGGCAGTAAGTCCCCGGTCATTCGTTATTCTTTCAGCAATTTCAGTAAACTTTATTTTATTATTTTTTTCTCTTTACCGTTTATTCTGAAAATTATACACACTATTTATATACAAAATCATTACAGAGACTTTATAAAGTTTGAGTGGAAGAACAGTATTTTTAGAGACCCGTAAATGAACTCCGCCTTTCATTTTCATTTATACTGAATTATTTTCAGATTAAAATCTTATAATAGTATCTAATAAGTGGGAAAAATAAGACGTTAATTTTTATTATTATTATTATTATTATGAGTGTTTGTCTACAAAATCAAAAAATTTCACTTAAATGGTTTCAGTCTCCATTATAATGGAGGTAAATAATTATTTACCTGTGAATGAACCTTTTTCCTGAAGTACGAAAAATCACTCACTAGCAGCGCTAGTAGTTCGGTAGGGACAAACACTGCCTAATCCTCATATAATCATATGGTAAAATACAATTGAAAAAGAATGTTTTTAACAGAAGAAAATGTTCCTGGAGCAAAACTAAAATTTGCAACTGTAAAGGAATATCAATGTTGTAACATTTAAACGTTGGCTTGCATGCCGTGATTTGAAAGTAACTGGAAAAAAAGTGAATTAATAGACAGGTTAATATACATACTCTAGTAAAAGAGTAGCGGTAGATTCAAACTGTAGGTAATAAAAGAAATTTAAAATAATTATGAATTTCAGATTTATTTCCTAGTGAAATATGAATCAAATATAGATGGTAATGAAATAAATTCTATTGAATATAATAAATGAATATAATTTAATGAACGATTGAGGTTATATCTCATTCTAATCAATGGTAATTAACTATGAAAAATTTACTATTCATTTCATGTTTAGAGCATACATATGAATATTTATTTATTTTTTGCACTGTTAAATCCATTCTCCTCGAAGCATGTATCCATTTTTTACATCTAACCTCACTAATATGAGGTTTTATAAATGGTATAAAAAACACCTTTTTTCCGGATATCCGGCATTATACTAGCACAAAATAATTTTTTATATCAGATTTATATTTTTGAATAATAAATTAATATTACGTAAATAACACTGTTTTACATGTGAATAGTTTATGTTTATCCCTATTATTAGTGCTGCCTCTCGTGACACGTTCGCTGTACTATTCTCAGGAAAAAGGCTCATTGAGATTAACTGTTTCACCAAATTTCACAGAAAAATAAGAATTTGTCGTTATAGGTTAGACTGCTTTATCCAAAACCTGGTTGGGTAGAAATAAATCCTGATGAACTGTTTAGTGATGTTTTGGAAGTCGTTAATCAAACTATAAAAAGTAAGTATATCTCACTTTTTTTGACTATTTTAATAAGCAGTCCAGGCAGTTGTAACAATTATGTCAATATTAGCCGAAAGCTCTTGAATTATAGTTTTCTCAAGACTCAACTATTGCTTATCGAAAAATAAACAATTATGGATGTTGAAAAAATCAACAATTAAACTGTCAGGTATTGAATTGGACCTTATAATATCAGCAATCAAATGTTATTATTATATTGTTGTTTACCTCACATATGCTACTTATTCAATGCATTTATTCAAAAAAAATATTCATCCAAGAATCTGGAAACAATCGTTCTTCCGCTAGCCAAAATAGTCAATGCAAAGAGTCTGAATGTCCTTCGCTCGATTGGTATTTTGTGTGCCATATCTAAAGCATTTGAAAAAATTTTGAACTTGCAGATGCGTAACTACTTTTTTTTCCGTTAACCAGCTATTGCACCCCTACGAACGACAACCCTTAGAAGTTGAACCTTGTGCTAGCCAAGGACTAACAAGGTCGTACCTTTTAATGTGTGATTCCTAACACGGGTTGGACGATAGCAAGTGAAAATCGAGCGTTAAGCCTGCGGCTTGATCCATTGACTCACACATCGGCCGATTGACTGAGTGAAAAAAGCACCCACGTCGAACCGCCCGGCTACCGACCGACTTGAATGAATTCAATATATTACCAAACTGTCAATCAGGGTTCTGGGCAAACCATAGCTGCACAACAGCTCTTTCGAAGGTTGTAGATGATTCACATTGTTCTGTCGACAATAACAAACTTCGTCTATTAGTACTGCTGGATTACTCTACTCTAAAGCATTTGATCGCATTAACCACTCCCTACTTCTGGCAATACTGAAGAATCTGGGCTGTTGCCGCTAGCGTCGTAAATCTGCTTGAGAATTGCCTGCTAACCCTCAAAATAAATAATGTGTCCCTCAAGGATCGATTCAAGGCCCACTTTTCTTTGTTTCATATACCTACTTCTCAGTTCTAAGGCTTATGGGGCCGAGGTTTTCAGTTTCACTATTTTTCGGGTTTGAAGGCCGTAGCAACATCAATGTTTTGAAATGGCATATGTCAAAATACATTCGTCATAAAAAAGTTATAAGGGAATACGATTTGAAAAAGTCTCTCACCCAATTATCACACCAATTCAATTTTAGAACTTTAATCAAAATTATGATTGCTCCACTAGATTCAGCAAGCTTTGATGCTTCGCAGTAAAGAATTCCATCGAAATCCGTAAATCATTAAAAAATGTATAGTTGAAAACATAATAACATATAACATGTATGAATAACATGTATGAATAAAGATGAATAAGGTTTGTACAATAAAGTATGTACAGAATATTCTGTAAGTCTGCTACTCTATATATTTCTGACGAAACTTTCCTGCTTGTGCTCATATAAAGAAGATTTCAGAACGACAATAAAGTAGGAAACTTTATTATCCTTCTTCATAATGAAGTTGACATCATTTCATATTGAATTCGAATTCAATTGACTAAAAGAATTCACAATTCACAGACAATGGAATTCAAACTTTTTACCATCCACATCCTTTTCAATGTTCTGAGTACATTTTTGTTAACTGAGGTTTATTCATTATCAGAAGCAAACGTATCTATTGCCGATATAAAAAGTTTTGGAATAGCCACTCAAAGGGCCACCTTCATCACATGGAAAAAAGATACAGGCGAACCTCTACACAATTTTATAACATGGAAGGATCTCAGAGCGGCAGAGTTCCTGAAAGATCTGAATTCGTCTTGGCCAACAGTTGTGAGTATATATGTATTCCTATCCAACTAATTGGAAATATTAATAAATATAATCCTTTCCACTTAATCAATTTCCAATTTAGTAATTGTTCGAAGTCATATACTTTTCGAATCCGGTTTATCAATTATCAATTACAATGCCACTATAAAAAATTCAAAAGTCAATCATGAATTGATTAATATTACTGGAGTTTTTTCCCAACGCCAAAACGTTATTTTAACACATCGACACGTGTTTCGATCACCAAGTGATCATCTTCAAGAGGAAGATCAAACTTAATTAATTGATAAAGCCGTTAGTTACTACGTGGTAGGAGACCATCATGAAAAATGAGAAATGAAACTTTCTATGTTTCTCTATGTTTCTATCTTTTTTTATAATACACGTTCAATGAAACATTAAATTATAAAACAACAATAAAAATTATTTGGCGCTCCGGGGCGACTTCATTGATTCCAGTGGCGCATTTGCTTTTTCAGCTGCAGGAAAACCCGGAAAAACCTGCAGCACCACATCATCTGAAGATTTTGATCTGCCAATGTCCTCTGTCTCATGAAACAAAATGTTAAGTGTCTCCAGAGGTTCCAAAAAATTCATTACATCGCCAGAACACTTCGTGACACGACTATCGTCAAACTTAAACCAGTCCGTTTCCTCTTTGGCCAAGGCGTAATAATAACCAAATTCAAATCCAGAACCACAGTGAACAATGACTGTATGAATATTATAAAAGTGGTCTGCTAGATTTAAGTGTTCACCTATTTTGAACCTTCTTAAGAGTTTTATGCTTACATCAGAGGTTGATTCATGTATGGAGAACATCAGTGTTATTATTAGATTGACTGGTGTCTCAACTATACTTGTTTCCTTTTAACAGTCAGTTTGGCAAAACAGTCGATCATCACCTGTTAAATATTCCATTTTCAGATGATTTAACAATAAGCTTTACACGGACTGGTTATTAGTCATATTAGGAAACGCTAGTTGTAGTTGCAGGAATTCACATTTGTTTTTGCTACCTTTTGAACATTTACTGCAAAGTAAACAAATGAGGATTTTTCCAGCAAAAGATTTACAAACACAAGACGAGATAGATTGTACGGAATCATTCAATCCAGAGCGGTCAGGAGTATTGATTCTGCTCTTGAAGATGATCACCATATGATCATCTTCAAGAAGAAGATCAATCTGAATTGATAGATGTAGCCGTTACTACGTGGTAAAAGATCATCATGAAAAATAAGAAATGAAACTTTCTATGTTTCTTAACACTTTTATCTGTAACTATCGTTACTGCAGTTTCGTCCCATATGGATATTTTCAAACCAATACACACGGGGTGAGTGGCGGGGGATCACTGTCTCTCTCTTATGGGTGTTTGACAGTCCCCCGGTGCAGACCACACGGCACTCACCCAGTAAAGTTATCGGTCAACCACCCTATCCCGCATCTGCGGGCAACAGGCGTTGGCCGATTTCAAGCTAGATGTGTGGGAGAGGTGTCTCGCAAGAGCCCTCGGCGGTTACTCATCCAACGTCCCCCCAGGCCCCCCGGTGCGGTCGTAACTATGACTCTCTTAATGGTTCACAACTTTTATTGCATTAGTTTGACAATGTCATTGTAGGACGAAACTACAGTAACAATGGTTACAAATAAAAGTAGTAAAAAACATTGAAAGTATCATTTTTCATTGAAAATTCCCGATTTGTTATTTTGATTTTCTGCTGATTTTCTGATGAACAGTGGTGACCAATGGTCACCACTGTTCATCAGTGAATAATCCGGTACTTACTTCATTTACTTGCCACCCCTTGTAATGATCACATTATTTAGCTGTCACCACTACAACCATACGTCATTTGACTGTCTATTATTTCTATAAAAAATCAATTCAGCTATAACCATTTGTAACCATCTCGCTATTGCCGTGATTTGTTTTGTTCAATCAATTTGACAGCTGCTGTCACCAGATGCGGATTTCTCCACATCAAATTTTGGATGTTAAGGCTATCCCGGAAGGAGCTTGAGTTCGGCCTCCTGCACGAAAATGAGGTCTTTAGTTGCAGTTGAGAAAGATCTTAATAATTCGCAGACACTTTTTTCTAAGAGATTACTATGCTAGACTTTAAATTAAAGGTCGGCTTTAAATCTAAAACTGCTATATTCAATAATAAAGAATAAAGGAAAATAATAATAATCAAATCTCAAATGAAACTCAAATTCAGTGTCTTCTCCGTAATTTCCTACCATATGACAGAGTAAAGTAGATAATTGTAGAATCGTCATTCATATGAGAACCTGCAAATAATTAATTCTTCAGATTGAATTCATCAGGGTAAAAAATTTATTGGGGCCCTAATGATAGTGCACCAGTGGATAAATCTATTAAAAAGTGAAAATTACTTCTTTGCTTTGCAAAAGAACAGTTATCTCAAACTAGTTTTCCAGTTAACCGCTATCTATGAAATATGGAATTGAACTTGGTTCTTGATAAACTACACATTGATAAATAACTTCCTTATTGGAATATAGTACATTTTTTCATGAACTCTAAAAATTTGAAAGAAAAAATACATCGCATATATATTTCAGATGTTGAGATGGAGTTGCTATTTCCTCTATCTCTTCACTAGAATCAAAAAGTTTGGAGTAGGAGGTAATTTCAAGATTGAGTGTAAGCATGTAAGTATTCATTGATATAAATATATTTCTTATTTACTTTATTAAAAGTTCATTTTCATGTTTGCATTTTCTAGTTTAGTTGTGAAGGTGCGTTCTCACGAGTCAAGTTTAGTTGAACGATTTTAATTAATCAACAAAAGTTGAAAGAATAACCTAGTGAGAACTGAAAACCTACGAAAATGAAATACATTAAAACATTTCAGGTTTAACAACGTAAACAAAAATTAATTCAAGTAATATTCAACTTTTGTTGATCAACTATTATCGGTCAACTGAACTTGACTCGTGAGAAGGCCCCTTAATAGGAACGTTGACGTTTCAGGAACCAATCCGCTGTTGTTTCAAAAACAGATATTTCATTTGTTCGCAGAATGTTATTTTCTGAATTTTCGTTTGACCTGATATAGTTATTGCATCACCTGCTACTATTTCACATGAATGACACTACCATGATAGAATGCGTCTTTCCACTCATTTCCCCACATAATTTTGCCAAATAGCACCGATGTCCATTAAAATTCTACTTTCCCTTACACCGGGGGTTTGCTTTTACCCTGGGGGTGGATGCCATCCCTTTTCGGGTGTGAAAAAAATAATTTTTGAATGAAAATAAATCTAGGAGTAGATAGATTGACTTGACTCATTCTAAGCAAGTTTTGTTTTATGAAGTTTTTTCTGAAAGTCAATACTTTTTGCCATATTCGCGAGTGGAAGAGTCAATTTTTTAACTAATAAATCTACGTGTGTGGATTTAGCTCTAAATTTCGGAGGGGGTGATTTATAAATTTTGGGGAAGATTAATTTTCAGGAGGAATAATTTATTCAAGCAAGTATGTACGTGTATATATTACAATACTCATTTAAAATGTATTGAATGCTCAAAACACCTTTCCCAAACGCTAGAACTGTAACACTTTCCTCGACATCGATTCACCAACCAAGTTGATGTCTTTACAAGATGAAGTACACTAATTGCTAATTCCTAAACTAACAGGATATACTTTCACTCTCAGACACACATAAGTGATTTCAGGTTGAAATTCGCAGTTTGTAGTAGGGTTTCAATGACGGTTCTGAACCTCCACCATTATTAGTCGACCTTGAACGACGTCACACGATCTTGAGCGATGTGCACATCATGTGACTTCGAATCATCCACACGACCTTGAGCTATGTGCTGTATGACCTTGAGAACAGTGTTTAACCTTGATGATCGGTACTGTTCTTGATATAATACCTTAAGCTTGGGCCTCACTATATGACCTTGAATTCAAACTTGAATGAAACCTCGTTGTTTTACTTTGGGTTGGAGTGGAGGGGGTTGTGCTCATATAAGAACGGCAGTGTGAATGTTTTAGTCATTTCACAAATTATCTCCATATTCGTTTGGCATTATATACGATATGTATATGTGTACTGGATGTTTTACTCGGAACGACAACCTGTATCCCGCGAATGATGAAGGGTCATCAAGATAGAAGAAGCAAGATAGAAGAAGAAGCAGTTTTGCAAAAATGGCCTCTTCTTCAAAACAATTCAAAAACTTATTTTTTTAGTAATCCGTTAATTTCTCTTCGAAGTTTTTAAATTTTTCATCGGGTTTGTAGTTCTTTTCCTTTCTCACACATGTCTCAAAATACTAATTACAAACCTGGAAATGTATTTTCCAGAATTGATCTTAGCGTTTCCTAGGTAGCTACCTACTACTGAATGCTGTTATATCTGAAAAAGACCATGAAACATAACAATAACAATAATTTCGCCTAATTTTATATAAAGCCGGTGCTTTCATAAATATTTTCTCAGGTAACGGGAAGACTTCTATGGATTATTGCAAATATAAGTGAAGTTAGCAAGGCTTTGGAGAGTGATAACTTAATGTTTGGTACTATGGACACTTGGTTGATATATAAGCTAACTGGAGGAAAAACGTACGTCAGTGATATATCGAACGCTAGTTGCACAGGATTTTATGATCCTTTTGATTTAGGATACGGAATTTTGGCTAAATTACTGAAAATTCCTGTAAACATTCTTCCAAAGGTTGTTGATAATGACTATGAGTTTGGATCTACATTGAAAGATTTTTTTGGAATGCCTTTAAGAATAGGATGTGTGGTAAGATTATTTTAAATTTCTTCATTTAGAATATGAAAACTAAGAATCGCCAATATTTGTGAGAGAAAATTTGAACATTGTTTCATATTCTCAGATGGGAGATCAATCATCGTCCATGTTTGGTACGTGCAGTTTCAAAACAAATGACGTTAAAGTAACTCTGGGTACAGGATCATTTCTCAACATCAATACGTCAGGCAAACTCCATCCTAGTTTGAATGGAATATACCCTATAGTTGGATGGAAAATAAAAAATGAAATTACATTTATTTCCGAGGTTTCCTGTAATGATGCCGGTTCTCTAATTCAGTGGTTACTGCTAAATGGTATATTCGAATGAAACATAATTATTTATGGTCGTCTAGGATGATGAAACAGATAATATCCACACGGGGATAAGGATTTTAGATTCCTCTATTGTTTAAAAATCATTAGTTATAGTAGCTACAACAGATCAAATCTTTCATCTTGGCGACCATAATGTTGTCAAACTAAACATATATCGTCTGTAAAATGACTTCATTTTTAAAACATTTATAGGATTCGTTCAGTCTCCTTCTGAAACATCTGAAATTGCATCCAAAGTGGAAGATAGTAATGGAGTGTACTTCGTACCCGCATTTAGTGGTTTAGGGGTAAAAGAAGAAATAAAAGTATGTTTCCGTACCAAACTAACATTTTTTAGCCTCCTATAGGTGACGAAAAAGCTGCTGCTGGTTTCATAGGTATCACACCAACCACGAAAAATGCTCACATGATACGAGCAGTTTTGGAAAGTATAGTTTATCAGTTAGTTTTAGCGTTTGAGTTGCTAAAAAAGGAACGTGTTGGAATATACCGTTCTTTAAGGTAAGGTAGGTTCTATAAATTAAGGTAGAGAATTGTGAGATTTGTTTTTAATCACTTTGGACACGAAAAACATTTTATTCTACTATACATTAGTATTTATTTAAAATGAATCAGCAACATTATATAGTCGGTACAATAGTATCTTTAAATCTAGACATAGTGGTTTGTTCAAGAAATAAGGTGAATGTTCAAGTTTTGCGGGCTACATATATTCGATTGGCGATTTTTTTATGTTGGTATACTCATCTCAAACATATGTTCACAGTTTCAACTGTTTAGCATGTTCAATTTGTTGGTGTTAGAAGTGTTTTACGTGTTCGGAGATTTTCTGATATCGAAAAAAAATAGATCGAAGAATCTGCATCAAATTTTGTGTAAAAAATGAAATTAAGTGTTCAAAAACACTTGAAATGTTGACAGTGGCATACGTGGATTGAACTGTGAGTCTGAAAAATATTTACAAGTGATACAAGCTTTTCATAGAAGGTTGAGAAGATTAATCAACAACCGATGAAAATGTGAAGAAAGTGAAAATAACTGTTATGGAGAATCCTCGAATCACTATCAGAGAAGTTGTTGATTATATCATGTAGGTTAGCGCAAGCCATTCAATTTTTCGGAAATTTTGGGCATGAAGCGTGTGGCAGCGGAGTTCGTTTCAATATTGCTGAATTTTTACCAAAAAAACGGTTGCATGAATATCACTCAGGAATTATCAAACGACGTCGAAATCATTTGCTTAAAAGGGTCATAACTGCTGAAAAATCATGGGAATATGGTTATGATATCGAAACCAAACCTGAAAAGAGCCCAGGAGAGTTAAGACCAAAAAAAGCTCGTCAAGTTCGATAAAATGTCAAGGTTTTGCTCACTGTTTTCTTTGATTACCGTTGCATAATACATCAGGAGTTCTTGCCACGTGGTCGCACAGTCAATAAGGAGTACTATCTTGAAGTTATGCGCCGTTCGCTAGAAACAATACGAAGGAAACGTCCGGTACTCTGCATCACAATAATGCACCTGCTCACTCGTCATTACTTGTTCATTTTTTTTGGTCAAAAATAACACCATAATCATGCCTCAGCCACCGTATTCACCAGATTGGAAAAATCGCCGACACATGTGTATTATAAATGAAGGGAAGTTGAAGGGAACAAAATCGAATTTAATGAATATTTAAATATTTTTTTGAGAAAAATTAAAATTCACTTTATTTTTTGAACAGAGTGTTATATGTCACTATGCTGTCAGTTTTGAAATTGCAACCTATAAAATTCCTAAAATTGATATGAGAAACAAGGATACAATTCGAGAGATATTGACAAAAAAGTAGAAAATGTATGTTATTTTCAGATAAATCAAAAAATGCCGATGAACTTTTCATTAACACATTTTCATTTACATATTTGGTTGCCATTAAATTTGAAATTAGACGATTCGTATTCCCTGGACCACTCTCAAATATTCCTTCGTCATCATAATAATATTCATTCATCCTACGGATTACATTGTCAATACGACTAATGTGGAACCCTGTATAATAAAAAGTTTTCCTACGAATTGGATTTGTGTAATCTAGGTTTCAGATAATATAGAACTCCTTCGAAGAGTAGAATTTTCTGAAAAATTATTAACCAAAAAAGTTTTTCATCAGAAGACGATTTGAGACTCAGTGTGTATCTTCGAAATACAAACATATTCTCGTAAATAATTTGAAAATATGAGGGTAATTCATTCTTTCATCATTTATTAATTTTGTAATTTTTCTGTATGATGAAAAGTTTTCCTTCGATTTGTATTTAGATATATCACGTTAACGTGTGCCTAGACACTGAGTAACTGAGTAGTACACCCTAAGTGTATTGAAAAAAAAGGCACGAGTTTTAACACTGACACCAAACTGGTGTTATCAAAACTGAGTCCCAAAAGAAAACAAGATAGTTATACTACTGTTTTTTAAATGTTTTTTATGTTGCATATTCCGAAAAAATTATTTGAAAAGAACTCCCAAATAAACCTAAATCTCACACCAAAACCATATGAACAATGAGTTGATGATATTTTTAATACCAATTTGCAAAAAAGACTATTTATTTCAGTTAACAACTGAGTATTTTTTGAAAAATACTAAATGGATTACAAATTTGAAAATAATTATTATTTCAGATAATGATGGTTATATATCCAATTATATAGGTACTCGTCTGAATGATATTGGATTTAATGTATAAATTAACTCAATATGCTAATGCGAGTTCATAAAAACCACATCATTTTCGATTAGGACACTTTTCCACTCGAGCGATGCGACTAATAATTCGCATAAGTTTTGCCAAAATAATTCCCTATAATATGGAACAGTTTTCAATTTTCTATCAGATTACGGTCTTGATAGTTTTCGATTGGCTACTCTGTTTTCGAATTGTTTTTCAAATCAGAGTTGCCAACAGGAGCGGAATTCCGCTACCGTAGTGGAATTTACTCGACAGTAGCGGCGTAGCGGATTTGAACACAAAGTAGCGAAATTTTTTACAAATAATCAATATTGAAAAAAATATGGAAGTAGAGAAGGCATTGGACATCACTCAAAGCCAGTGAACTCTGTACGTATAGTATACATTTCACTGGTCGAAGCTGACACATGAATAATTGAATGCACAGTCAATACATTACGGTCTTAGTAGCTGAGGGCATTACATGATGAAAGATATTTTCATTCATATCTTAAACCATATAACCTCCAATATCTTGAAACTAAGTCTCGAATGTTTCGAGTAATATAAATTATATGGAACAAATTACAATGGAAATGGAAGATATTTTATGTGCCATTTTGTGCATTTACAAACTTGCGTTTGTAACAACTCAACCATGCCACACAGCCCCCTACGACTCTAAGGAATGATTCTCTACAGTCCCCTACGACTCTAAAGAATGATCATTGTAGCTGGACGAAACTACCACAGTTGAAATTGACGGGAACGAGACATGATCAAATAAATACAAAAACTTATTTCAAACTAAGAAATATTTGGTCAAGATGACAGGTTTCAAAAATTAACTGCTGTAAATTTAGAAAATTAGGTACCATCTACTAAGTTGCGTGGTTGAAAATTAGCATCCTAATTCCTGACATTAGTGACAGTTCAGTTTTGTGATATCTGAACGGTACTGTCAGTTCTGTGGTATGTAATTTTGTATAGAGCGCTTGCGCGAACTGATTGCGTCAGATATACAAGCGTAGTGAAATATGAAGTAGTGTAGTCACCGTATAGAAAGAAGTAAAAGTGTAGCGGAATTTTGGTTCATTTATAGTGACATTGTAGTTCATCCAGGTGGCAACACTATTTTAAAATATTTTGTAGAACCATTATTATTGATNTTATATTGTTATATACATACATATATTATTGTTTTGTTCAGATGGTATTCAATACTTGTATGGTTGTATGAAAATCCAAATAATCTTATAAATTTTAATTCAACAATAATTACAACGTTGAGGTAGGAATTAATTCGATTTCATGAGAATGGAGAAAGACAAGAGCAGAGGCTTGAAACATATCACAAATAAGCAGAAATATAAAGGAAATTCTACCAAAAATCCTAAATGTGTTCCTTCAAAGTCGAAGTCTCATCTAGTGTCGAATTGGGACAGATATGAAGTAAATGATAATGATCGAGACTCATCTCTAGTGAACAGTCTAGACTTTTCTGTCCTTGCCAGTGCCCCTTTAAGTCAGGGCAAACATTTTCAATTTAGGAATGAAAAACTTGTGTCTCATGAAATCCAAACTGATTCAACCAACAGCCTTTTCAATTTGGATCTTGTGAAGCTGGAAGAGAGCATTTTGACTGTTCCCTTCTTTGAAAGGTTATCTATCGATGAAAGAACATTTTCCAAACAACAGATTGAAGTCATGAAAGCTGAAGCTAAAGAATGCGACGAAAGATTAATGAAAAAGAATATGCTATCAAACTTCGAGAGTTTTCTTCCTGAAGATGAAGCATTGTTTCCAGAGATACCTGATGATTCTACAGAAGTTGATGTTAGAGGATCTCTAATAATAGAAAAATCTGATGAATTGGAGGACTGGTTGGAGGATATTTTGAATGAATAAAGATTAATTTTGAAAAAAGAAGTTCCTTTTTATACTTATAGTAAGTAATTTTGTAGGTTAAAATAATCAAAAATTATAATTCAATCATCGAGGAGATAGGAGGGACTTGGTAAGCAATAAAAGGCTAGTAACTTTAAGATGTGTCACAAAAAATTAATTCATTATTTTAGTCTAAACTTGGTAACACTTGAGAAAAAAAATTTGCTTTTTGGAATACTTTTTAAAAACAAATTTCATTTTGAGAGGAACTTTTACTAATTGATTTAACATATTCACAAAAGATTACAAGATTACAAAAGCTGTAAAAATAGCTCTACCCCTGCATTTATCAAAGTGCTGAATCAGCGCTGCTCAATCAGTATGCTTCAAGTAGGTGTTCCTATTGTATTCAGTCCTATTACTTATCTGCCCTTAGAGTGAAATCCTGAGGGTAACAACAAGATTGGTTGATATTTTGTAATTCTGCGACGTCCTGCAGTGGCTGCTTAGTTCTGGATTTTATGTTTATTTGGTACACTTGATATACAAAATATAGAATGGCTATAGACATCAAAAAGTAAATAATTATGGTCCAGGCACTAATATTAAAATCAACTGGCATTTTTCAAGTTTATGAAAGTCTCTGATGAGGCATTTCTGAAGAGTTTTCAATATGATTTACTTCATTGAGATCGATAGCGTCCAACTTTAAAGTTTCAAATTGAATATCAGAGTTTTCATTATATGTGAAGTTCAGTTTCGCTAGCACAATATTTTTAAAATGTTTACGAATTTGTTTGATGAAATCGGCCGATAGGTACTCGATGAAAATTCATAATATATTTGAGAAACACTTCATTGTGAAATATTTACTACACAGTTTACAAAACCGCAACACGTGTTTTGCTATACTAACGTTAATTATAGACATGCCTGAAGAAAGTATATATTGGTATAGACCAAAACAAAGCGATTTTTGTCTTTAGAACTATGAGGCAAATTCTACTTTCCTCTGCCTGAAATAAATTTCCTTTTTTTGATAGAAACTTTTAGATTTCTTTCATTATTTCTATGTGCTGAATCAGCTCTGCTCACTCCGCATTTTTCAAGTGGGATATCCTATATATTCAGTCCTATAACTATTTTGTATATACCAGTTAGTAGTTGAAACCTACTGTTTGAACAATATATCCTAAAATAGATAAGATTGAGTGAAACCTGACAGATTGTGTATCTTGAAGAACACTTACAATGGATTCAGGAATTGAAAATATAATTCTGATTTTCATTTAGAAAGAAATTGAATATTTATATAAATTTGTATTATTTGTTAGAATTGATGGAGGTGTCTCCCAAAATGATTTCATATGCCAAATGTTGGCAGATCTAGCCGATATATCAGTAGAAAGGTCAGGATTTGCAGATATGACTGTAAGGGGTGTTGCATATATAGCAGGACTTTCAAGTGGTAATGACTTATTTATGGATTAAGATTAATCTAACAAATAACTCGTTTTTGTTCCTTTGTAGGTGTCTGGAAGGATGAAACAGAATTTCAGGTTAATTCTGACCTGAAAAGGGTATTTAAACCTACAACTTCTTTGAATGAAAAGGAAAAATACAAAACAAGTTTCAAACAGTGGATATTGGCAGTTGAGAGATTCAAATTTTGGTACAAGATGTAACATTTGCTTATAACATATAACAAATTGAGATACATTAAAATTTATATATGTTTTTAAATTAATCAAGGATTACCAAAAGTTCAGTGTGATAAATACTTAAGGACATATGTTTACTGCAATAATGAAAATGTCCACATGTGTAAAATGTGGTGATAGAAATAAAAATGAATATGAAAATTACACGAAACATAAAATGGTGTAAGTTATTCCAGATGCTAAATGGAACTCATAACATTAACTTAGGGTACGATGTATTTCAAAGTGTGTTAGTGGAAGTTATCATCATTAAATTCGTCCAAATTATAATAGGGTCTATCATCAAAAAGTAAAACTTTGCTTTCTTAAATTCTAAAAGGCTTTTTATAGATTTAACGTCGTTTGGCAAGTGTCGAGGTGGAATAGTTAGAGGACACCAAGGGAAACCAATCTCTATGCTTGTTTATCAAAAGCCGTTTCTAATATGAAAATGGCATAAACTGTCAAATATTATTTGTTATGAATATAGACCTACAGGAGTCTTGTTTCATTTTGAAGTACATACATAGAATTCATAAGAGTTGTTGAACATACTCCCCAGAACAAAATTCCATACTTATCTCAAGTGTGACTCTACTAGTGAATAGTAAACAGATTTAACTGCAGAAGATCCCAATTCTCCAGAAATTATTCTTACCGCATAACAACCCGAAGAAAGTTTTTTAGCGAGTGTTTTGATGTCTTCAAATATCAAGTCGTTATCTATGATGTTTCGACCACCATCCAAGATGTCGGATTAACATTACGTCATTATTCAAAGTACGAGTTATATCGTATTTACCACGATCATTAGTGAAAAAACTAGTGGTTGGGACAAACGTTAAGTGGAATGCATGTCAAAATTACTAGAAAAATAAATTGGTGTTGGGTCCAGGGTTGTTAGTGGCTAGAAAATTATGCATTCTGCTGAGTTTTTGAGGCTTCCAGTTCACTGCTACACCCCACTGAGCTGATTAGACCATTTGCTATACCTACTTCCTGAAAAAGTTCGCTAAAGGCTAGACTTTAGCATGAATAGAGAATTTTTTTGTGTTGAGAACACCGATTAATAGTAAGACAGAGTTGTCATGCCTATACCAAAGATATTTAATCTGTACATATACAATACATGTATTTTTAACAAGGTATCGTCCGAGAATACCTATCACAGCATTCTCGGGTATCGTACTATCCTCTTCTGTACAGCTTATAGGCGAGGAGGGGGTGGCGGTTAATGAGGCGTTATACACTGCACAGGTTGGATCCTGGCCCCTTACCCTTTGGGCTGATATTTGTCAGAGGGACAAATGGGTCATGACTGATGGTGAGTGATGTTGGGATGACGGCCTCAGACATCAGTGCCGCACTTCACGGTGTACCTCTATCTGGCTGGGGTGGGTTGGATTATTAGAATATTTTTAATTACGATTGAGGTTTGATATTATGTGATTTCATTCAAAATTGGTATCTAGGGGTCTTTGTGGACCGACATTATATATTTTTTTCAATAATTCATGCTGACGAAATCTTTACGAAAAATCATTAATGTGAATGAAAAAACTGTATTAAAAAATGAAAAATATGTTTTTCATATGCGTGTCATCGGGCATATTCATTCTGTGATCAACAGACTAAAAAGCTTTCTGCTCAATGTTCAGTTTGTATACTAAATAGTTATTCTTGTGCAACCGGTGTTAAATCTGTTATTGCTCACTTAACAACTAACTTACGTCACAAAAAGAATATGATTTCCGTTTTGGTTTTTCTTTCTTTACACGAGGCTCTCGCGTTGCATACAGACAATATTCAATAAGAAATGACGGTTGTCATTTTTTTAACATTTTTTTGGTTGAGGTATGTCAAATAATGAAATAATATAAACCTAGTTTCAAAAACTTTATTTATAAGAATGAGATCAAAAAAATGATCATAAAGCCTCTTTCATAATGTCGGTCCAAAAAGACCCCTAAATACCAATTTTGAATGAAATCATGATTTCTAATAAAAAAATTCCTTATATCGGACCTCACAAACTGTACCGCTTGTTTATCAAATCTGAGAATAAATCACACCTGATTTTATGAAGCAAAGTTCATTACTTTTGAAATTAACTTTTATCATTGTTATGAATTAGTTCATATGAAATAATTTAATTTTAATCCAGTAAACCATGCACTTTATTATAAAGCCATACATAAATAAAAATCTAGTAGGTGGTGGAAAAACTGGCCTCATTTCCATAATCATTAATAATAAATCAGATTTCCTGTAGGAACTATTTGAATAGAATACATTTTCACGTGAAATGATTTATTTTATAAATATATACTGTCCCTCCGATTATCGACTAAACCAACCGCCACTGTTTATGGTCCAACTTACTTCCCATAACCAAACAAAGTTATGCTGCCTTCAATGTCAGGATGCAAAAGGCCTCTCTATCGTCTTTTGTCGCTCTGAAGTTGAGAATGGATCGTTCCATTGATACTTATGTAGTGTGTATTGTCCTGTTATGGGTTGTTCACGTTAAGAAAAGAATGACGTCACAAGGATGGCAAGTTACGGCGTTCACGGTTGTTCACGGTAAGAAGAGAATGACGTCACAAAATGATGACAAGTTACGGCGTTGCCTACATGTGTACTATTTCGAACTTTAAAATTTTTTTGTACTGTTGATATGTTTTATTGCTATTATCCCTACCTTACTTTTAGTATTTGTTGGGACTATTTCGACAATGCTTTAGGCATATTGAATATACGCAAGTCTTATCAAAAGAAATGATTAGTTCTGAAACGAAAAGAAAGACTGACAGTTTTCGAGTTTTTTTCGATTCGGCAACGTCTGAAATTTTACTATCAGTTGAGGAACTTACAAAATGAAATGTTACTAGTTTCATTACTGTTGAATGAATTTCAGTGGGAATTTTAACGTTATTATGTTGGATATACAAAATTACCAAAAATGACGTCATTCTCTTTTTAACGTGAACAGCTTAATGAATGATAAGTGACATTTTTGACTTCGGCACTTGTCGTAAACGTGTGCCATTTGAGAATTACCTTGAATATTTGCCTGCATTTTTTTTTCTAGGTTTGCGCGTGGCCTGATCCCTTGTCAAACCGCAGCAAATGCTCGTAGCTCGTATAGAAGTGTTTACTTCTATACGGTGCTCGTAGTTTGAAATCGTATTTAATTTGTAATATTACACACAACCACAAAAAAGTACACCATTTCCAGTAGCGGATGTAGGTACTTACACTTTCCAAATAAGCATAATATAGATTAAGCATTCCCTATCTTATTCCACAAGAGTAGTTTTGTCTAAAATAAAATTCTCTCCAGAAAAAATAGGTTTGCATGGAAACCCAAAAAATAAATTGATGGATGTAGCCGTTACTACGTGGTAATAAATCATAATGAAGAAAAATAAAAATCAAACTTTCTATGTTTTTTACCACCTTTATTTATAACTAACGTTACTGCAGTTTATTGTATAAGTTTGAAAATGTCCGTATAGGACGAAACTGAAGTAACGTTAGTTACAAATAAAAGTGGTAAAAACATAGAAAGTTTCATTTTTCTTTTCTTTAACCCGTAAATAATTTATCTCTCTCATTTCCTCAAAACCTCTTGCTCTGAGTAAACTACCAGTGGCGGTTCCGTGAAAAGGAGTTTCATTTCGATTGTAAATTTGTGTATATTATTTGGCCATTGAAACTTCTTATGAATATTATATTCCTATTTTCAAGTATTCATAAGAGATTAAATTCAATTATCATTAAAAAAATTATATTAACTCTTTGCAATAAAGCCTTTAATTACTATACAGAAATATATGTATATCATTAATACAACTAGACTTATTTTCGCAGGTCTTACAAAGAATGCAATGTCACCAGTGAAAAATAAATTAGAAATTTAAAGTACAGATACTGATTCCACCATTATGAAACGTCACTGGTAAACAAACCATGATCAACTTTGACGTTTGTCACTGTCAAGAAGCGAATTTCCGAAATCACGATCCACAGCCAATCAAAAATAGAAAAAAAAATTGATGACCCATTATTATTTTAGAACGAATTTGTTTGTTTACTTCTCAATCAATATATGCCATATATACATCATTGAGAAAATATAACAACACGACAACAGTGGTTAAGTCAGAGTGTCAGAGTCAGAATGATTTGACATTTATGATAATCTTTGACAATTAGTTGAAATGAAACAGGAGTTGTGTTATTATTATATTTAGGAATTATTATTGGGTTTTCATATTTGCGTTTTTTATGAATACCTGAGACATGGCTTCATTAGATGGATTAAGTGACATTGATTTATTGAAGAATGAATTAGAACGATTAACAAGGGAATTAGATCAGGCTAGTAGTGAAAAAGTTCAATCTGCTCAGTATGGCTTGGTTCTACTGGAGGAAAAGAAAGAACTTCAACAAAAATGTGAGGAACTTGAAGCGCTGTATGAAAATTCCAAACACGAATTAGTCATAACACAAGAGGTAAATCCATCCTGAATTACTTTCAAATCTATTCTACCAGTATTTATAAAACTTTTTTAGGCTCTAGCCAAATTCCAGTCTAGTCATAAAGTAAGCACCAAAACAGGTATAGAAACTGAAGAATCTTTGATTACTGAGTCAGCAGCTAGAGAAACATCTCTACATTCTCAAATTATCGAATTGGAAAATGAGATCAAACAGTGCCGGCATGAACTGGAACGAGTTACCGCAGAACGGGATCGTATGTTACAAGAAAACAATGATATGGGAAAAGACAAAGAAGATCGAGGTATGGAATGCAAAAAGTTGAGAATGGAATTAAGAGAAGTTAAATTCCGAGAAAATCGTCTCATAACAGACTACTCTGAATTGGAAGAAGAAAATATTGCACTGCAAAAACAAGTTTCTGCACTGAAGAGCTCTCAGGTAGAGTTTGAGAGTTTGAAACATGAAACACGAAGATTACATGAGGAAATGGAACTAATGAATCTTCAGTTAGAAGAACTGACAAATTTGAAAAAGATTACTGAAAAGCATATGGAAGAGGCTTTAGAATCGTTACAGAGTGAACGAGAGGCTAAATACGCTTTGAAGAAAGAACTGGATCAACAAATAAACAGAGAATCTTTTTATAATATAAATAACTTAGCTTACAGCATCAGAGGCATGGCTGAAGAAACAAATGTTGTGAGTGACTGTGAAGAAGATATTCCCGGTCTCAAACACTTCGAAGCTACTCTTTGCAATGAGAAGAACTCGGAACTTGGTTCGCCAGATGGAAAACAAGTTGATCTTTTCTCAGAAGTCCACCTGAATGAACTGAGAAAACTAGAGAAACAACTTGAGTTGCTGGAGAAGGATAAAAGTTCTCTCACTCAAAGCCTGAGAGAAAATCAGGGGCTAGTCGAAAAAAGTCAAGGAGAACTGCAGGTATTCCTTGCACGTCTCACCCAAATGGCAGCACATGTGGATTCACTACATCATCTATCACAGACAGTAGACAAAAACCTGGCAAAGCCTGTAGATGAAGCTACAAAGGTTCTCGCTCAATACCAACAATGGTTCAAAATGTCTTGCAGAGAAATCGAACAACTCAAAAGGGATATAAGAGAACTTGAAAAACTTACTAATGTATCTGATGCTACCTTACAACTCAGAAATGAAATTACCAACCTGAAAAACAAGCTTTTAGATGCTGAACAAAAGTGTATGGACCTCAACGGGGATCTGAAAATCTTGAGAGAGTTTGCAAGTGAAGCAGGAGCTTCCTTAGATGAAACTCAAAATAATGTCCAGACTGTTTCTGAAGAATTGGCTCAGTTATATCATCATGTGTGTACTGTCAATGGACAGACACCAACCAGGGTTGTGCTTGATCATGAAAAGGAAGGACTGACCCCAAGTGAGTGTAAAATATTTACAAAAATATTACAGGTAGTAGGATGAATAAATACATTGCATCCTATGAAGCAGAATGCCTGTTGGTGCGTAAGGAATAAAAAAAGGGTTAAAATTAAAATTATCATCTTAAAAATCTAAAACTGAAATATTACTGTTTATAAGAGGAAGTATTCATAGAGGGAAATCTTCAATGAATAAATTATTTCACAAGGAACAGATATTATACAAGAAGTTAATCATATGTGTACTTTCCTTATTTCATGGCATCTGAATCCACTAATATATTTTCTAAGTTGGTTCATGCAATACTGCTTTCACTTGAAAGTAATTCGTTGATTTGTAAGATATGTTATGACTTGATAATAATTATCTTCATCATTTGTTTTGATTTCAAAAATGTCCTTTATTTCTTGCTTTTTTGCGTTATTTAACTTTCAACAATCTAAAAAATAAACAAAGCTGAATCAATAGAAAATCTGTTCAAGTGTAAAGAAGGGCAAACTGAAAAGTTCACTCTGAAAAGTTACTGTGTAATGTAAACCACTGAGGAGTCCAAGTCGGTAGTTTGTATTGTGTCAACAAATTGAATGAGAAAATTAATGTTTGACCTTTGACGTTTCTCAAAGGAAATGTACCTGTTTTTCTCAGGTATTTTTACAAGTCAATTTTTGGGTTTCCTTTGAAATTTGTCAAAGGAAATATACTTCTACGTCAAAGGCAATATACCGTTCTTCGCCTGAGGTGATTTTATAAGTGATTTTTTTTGTTTTGAGAATGGAAAGGGGTCACTTTTTCAAATGTTAACGTCTAAAGAAAGCTAAGTATGTAAATTAAATTTCTTTCCATAGATTATTCAATAGACCTTTACACTGATATTGGAATAATCACACAGGTGGAAAATACATGTATAAAAGTAACTTGAGTAATGGTCGTAATGTCACTAACATTTGATATGAATTTAGCAACACTGTAAAACTTATTTTGCATAATATAATTTTCTTCTTCCTGTATTCTTGTTCTGACAGTATTTTTTTGAGGTCGATTTAATGAAGTTTTGAAATTAAGAAGCACTTTATATTATGAAACAAAGACTTTATATTTGGAATTTTGTTAAAGAGATATTTGATTGAATAGTTATGTCGTATATTCATTCATGTACACTTTGTAACGTGATCTGAAAGGGGGAAAGTCTCAATAATAGTGCCCTCAGAGTCATTTTTGAAACTTTGATTTTCCTTCGAAATGAAGAAATTTGGGTGTTACTTTCTGATGGACGTACAAACATTTTTTTATGGAACTATGGAATAATATTGATTTTATAATTTTTTTTTCAGAATTTTTCAAGGCCTATATGTAGGCAAAATTTGTGAATACCTCAAGTTCTGACTAATTGAACTCATCAGTGGTTGATATTATGCAGTAACTTTTTGGGGTGAAATTTCCAGTTTGACCTTCATTACACTTCAATATATTCTCTATTTATTTTTCAGAATATGGAAGCCTAAATTCACAAAAAAGTATATTTCAAAGATTATTTCTTTCTCATTGGTAATTGTCGAATGTAAAAATGAAATATACATCAACTCTAAACAAGGAAATATTCCAAATTGACCTACACTAATATTTATTCCAGAATATTGAGCGAACACGTTTATAATTGTCCAATAGACAAAAATAATCAACTCATGATAGCTTCGCTAGAGAAACGCCAAAAATACTTTTTTTGCAGTTCTGCTATCTGGGAATCTGTCCAAATATTAAGTTTCAATTTTTTCTAATAATGAAACTTTTATAAATTTTTTTCAGTGACTGAAACTGCTCCACCTATTGGTGAAATGTCCAAAATAGAATTGCTCAGAAATCGTTTGAAAAGTGACATACCTCTACATGACTTGGAAACTCTGAATGACACTGCAGTGTTAGCAAGAAATGTTTCAACTATAGTTGATCAAATCAAACATCTTCGAAATGCCATTGAAAGCACCATTGAGCTTTCGAAGGTCAAGAGAGAAAATCACGAGGGATCATATGAATGTAAGTCACTTTTATATTGTTAATTATATTACTTGAACAATGTTAGAAAATATATTGATCGTTTTTGTGCCTTTCAACATTGGTAATGGATGTTACTTACCTCACTGTAAATTTTTTTCAGCCTTACGTGATGAAAACAGTGAGTCAGAAATACAGGAATTACAAGAGCAAGTCATCAGACTGAAGAGTTTGTTGTCCACGAAACGTGAACAAATAGCCACACTTAGAACCGTCCTGAAATCGAATAAAAACACAGCCGAAGTTGCATTAACTAACTTGAAAGGCAAATATGAGAATGAGAAGACAATTGTGTCTGAAACCATGATGAAGCTCAGAAACGAACTCAGGTTGCTTAAAGAAGATGCAGCTACTTTTTCAAGTGAGTGTTTTCAGGTTTCAAACCATTTCATTGATCTAGAAGAAATTCAATTTCTACCATTATCATACTTGAGCTATTTTTCTAATATTCAAAATATAATTAAGGAAAAAATCATTTTATGTGTATACATACTATCACTTCTTTCACCATGTGTATCATCAATCAAGTTGCATCATCAGAAGATGTCAAAGGTGATACAAAAATTATCATCTGCAAAACATGAGTCAAAAAACGGTGAAATAGTTCTGGTGTCAAAATTGTTTTTGCAAAATGATACCTCAAATGTATATTTAAATGATAATGATGATGAAGTAAATGAATCAAGTTTGTGAAATGATGGTATTTCAAAAAATATTGCAGTCTCAAATATTTCGTTCAGTTATAAATTTTAAGGGATAGTTAATCACATTCAATATACTCTACATCAGGTCTATAAGAATGTTATATTGACTTCTATGTAGGTGCTAAAGTTCAAACTATTAATGGAATATAATCGGTAGGTAATTGAAAATGTACATTATGTACTCATTTGCCAGATATTTTATATATGAATCATAGAATTTGTGAAAAAGCTGAATATACCAGTGGTAAATTTCCAACCTTCAGATCTGATTTGTTGCATAGTGCCACTTAAAAGGGTGCTAAACCGGGTGGTCGGTAACCAAAATTTTAAAATTCAGTAGACAGGATCAACCTGATCTCTGCCCTCCAAGATATTTGATATTTTTTTATCGTTGATAGAAAATGATATGTAATTGATGTTTTAAAGCAGTGGTCGCCAACCTGTCGATCGCGAGCTACCGGTAGCTCGCGGAGGCAATTCTGGTAGCTCTCACAACGATTTTAGTTTAAAAAATACAAACTGCAAAAATCAGAGAAGCTTCCGAAAAGTCCACAAAAAAATCTAATTGTCATAATATTAAACATAAACAGCGGCAACGTTGTGGTGAGCGATCTGCCACTGACGCCATCAAGCTAGAATCGGCTAGAACCGACTAGCCGGACTAGCGCGTTAGTGTTCGAGAACGATCTGGATTGCTTTGAACGGGCTGAATACGCATGGCGCGGCGACATTGCGTTTAGTTTAAAACTGAACGCGTAACCAACATCCAGCGGTTGGGTTAGTAGAGAACAACAAAAATAATATTATGGCAAGCAGTTGTAAGAAGGTAAAGACATACCACTTTCATTCGGAATGGGAAGAACAATACTT